AACACTGACATTTCTAATGTTGTGAATTTAACAACAATGCATTCAAAATATCTTTATGTCAACAAATTTTGTGAATCGTCCAACAAACGTTCTCATTGTGAACTGTCATACAATGTAGCACGCAACATTCACTGAAATATTCACAATTACAGTATTGGGTAATTCACAAAATTCTTTGAATGGATTGTTGTTAAATTCACAACATTAGAAATGTCAGTGTTTAACGTAAAAATTATTCTAAATATTTTTTCTAAAAATTATTTTACAATATTCTTATGTTAAAACAATAAAAAAATTATTCAAGTGCGGCACTTTAGATTTACATGGGATGAGGTGCGGCACCTGAAAAAGAGCGCACCAACTTCGTCGGGTGCCGCACTTCTCAGGTGCCGATAACAGCTCTGAAAGCGAACGATTCGGTTTATATGTCTCTTTTTCTTGAATAATAGATTCATAGACATGGCGAACGGAATATTTATCCTAGTCATCCGACCGATCCATATGGAAATGAATCTGAATTTTGGCCAGGTGGTTTCACGGCTCTAACCAATAAGGGAAAAAATCAACTGTTCGATTTTGGAAAATACCTTCGACGAAGGTATCAACATCTCATTGGACCTCAATATTCATCCAAAAAGGTGTATATTCACAGTACAAACATAGATAGAACATTGATGAGCGCAGAGTTACTTGCCGCAGGTATGTTTCCACCATCTGGAAATGAAATTTGGAACGATGAATTAGATTGGCAACCGATTCCGATTCACACAAAACATATATCACAAGATTATGTTCATGGATATTTTAACAATTGCCCACAATATGAACAACTCTACAGAAAGTTTACAGAGTCTCCAGAATTCAAATATCAGTTTGAAAAAAATATTGACTTTGTCAGATACTTAGAGCTAAATTCTGGCTTGAAATTACTGGGAACAGAGGAGCTTATGTACTTGATCGATAGGCTTCGAATGGAGAAAGAAAAATGTCTTGTGTAAGTATCAACACGCCATTGTTCAATTGTTGAAGTACATCCCAGCGTACATCTGAAGATAAGTTTTTAAAAATCTTATCTAAATTCCCATATAAATCATTTGCGGAGTAATTTGGACGATGGCGGGACTGTGCGGAGTTTGGCGGAGATGACATACAAACTCTGTGTGTGCGAGGGTAACAGCACTTCTATGTGATGTTCGTTTGGACAAAATAAATCTATGAATAGCAAAGAATGCTGTTGGACTCGTATACACAGCATTTGCATACTATCTCCGCCGAACTGCGCACAGTCCCGCCATCGACAAAATTACTCCGCAAATGAGTTATATGGGTTGTTGTGTTAATCTTTTTCAATAAAATTTTATATTAACATATGATTAAAAAGTCTTGAGAGTAAATTCAGACGTTCGCAATTTGAAAAAAAAAAACACACAATATTAAATTCATTTTTATTGGTGTAAAATTTTATTCATAGGCTATCGAATAGCGCATTCACTTCACACTGAGCGGACCATTGTCTTCGATATTTCTCAGTATGTGTCGAACCATCAAAATTATGCTTTGGTGGACCGATTGGTCGGTTTCTTTCAACTTTCTCTCAATTCATCCAACCAATTGATGCACGTTTCAAGTATTTTGGACCTTCGCCTATAACATACATCCAAAAATAGACGAGAAATAATTAATTTGGTGTCTTTTTGTGAAACACATGTAAGTAGGCTGTTTTACTTTTGCGCTGTCTGTTTGTATATTTGGTTTTTGCTCACATAAATTTGTATTCGTCTTTTTGCAGAATATTCTGTATGTTATTGTTTTCTTCTTAGGCCGTCATATATAAAAATGCTTCAAACTCCATAGTTTTTGTATGATCGCAAATGTGTTCACTTTTTATTACGATAAAAATACATATTTTTCATATTCTTCACTAGACTTCCAGATTGGACTCGTAACATCTCTCAGTATACAAATGATACAATGGAGCAAATTATCGCTATAAATCTTGAAGCTATAGCTCATACAAAAGAAATGAAGAAGTTTGGAGCAGGATTTTTCCTCAAAGAAATGTTGGACCATTTTAAAAATAAATCTCAATCATTACTCCAACCAGATCGTTCAATCTACAATTTTTTCAGGCCATGATACTACCATCGTAAATATTTTGAGCGCACTCAATCTATACGAGGTGAATTCCGCTGAGATTTCTGTTCAAAATTATAATTTTGCTGACGAACATATCTTATTTTTCAGCCACATCAACCAAATTATGCGTCCAGTATCTTTTTGGAATTATACAAAGGAAATGGCAGCCACTTTGTTCAAGTGTTCTATCGTAAGACGCCCACGGAAAATGTTCCACCGCTAGATATTCCGAATTGCGGAACAATGTGCCCATTGGATAAGTTCTATGAACTGTACGCGGATATTTTACCCAAGGAAAATGAAGACTTTGAAACTCTTTGCAGTAGTGCTATGCCACGTTCATAAATCGTGCATTATGTGTATTTGCGCTACTTGCAAATATACTGTATTATTACAAATCTAACTGAGTCAATGGAATATTAAAACACATTTTAAAATAATTTCAATTTTGTTCGTTCTTTATTAAACTAGTCATGCAAAAGATGTTATTAATTTTATAAATGTTAGATGAGAATAAAAAAAACAGTTTTAATTAGAGAGAGAAAATTACGGAGTCAAAAACGTATAACTTTCGGGGTTTCCACCCGGTGGTAGAACTTCGCCATCTCTTAATTTGCACTCTTTGGTAAAACTTTGCGTTGGTAAAATATCGTCATATAACGCATATAATTTGTCTAATGGGCATTTTATGCCACATTTTGGTATATGTAACGCTGTAATCTCTGTATCGATAGAGTTTTTGTAGTAAATTTGAACATAATGGTCCCATTCCGATTTCACTTTGTATAGTTCAAAGAAGAGGCATCCCGCATAGGTTGGCGCTTCCAAGACATTATAAAGTCCAAGACTGTTTAAAACGTTTGTTATCGTAATATCGTGCGCAAAATACAAATATATAGTACGATCTGGTGACAGTGTTGAGTGAATTTTCGCTGAAAATCGATCGAAAATGTCCTTCAGCAAGTAGCCAGCCTTAATTTTTTTCTGATAATTAGTAGACGAATGTAATCGATACCAGAGCATTGCTAAAAACTCAAAGTTCCCACCGGGAGTCATAACATTTTGAGCCCAATCTGGCAAACTGAAATTTGAAATCAAAAGCAGTAAAACATTTTTTTATTTTTAATATCTCCGAATGATTACCGCACATTTACCCGAAAATACATTTGCCCAAACATTTTCCCGAACGGATTTTTTCCCGAAAATTATTCCCGAAAATACAATTTCCCGAAAGTTGATTTCCGGAATTTTTTTTCCCGAAATTTTCCGGAATTTTTTTCCCGATTTTTTTCCCAAATTTTTTTCCCGAATTTTTCCGGAATAGTATATTTATCTCGAAAAGTATAAAACACTTTTTCGATGAGCACTTCTTTCTCAAGCTTTCGTTAGGTCTTGTTCTAAGCACTCACTCCCATTTTTATTTTTATTTTATTAAGCTTGGGGTTCGGAAAAAATGGGAGAGAGTGCTTAGAATGGAATACAAGACCTTCACTAGCGCACGCGCTCGTTCGGTCTCGTATTCCATTCTAAGCACTCTCTCCCATTTTTATTTCAATTTAATTTGATTTAGGATTCGGGAAAAATGGGAGTGAAAAAATGTAACGCAATACCGAACGAGCGCAATCTATTTCTATTTCAATTAAATTTGATTTAGGATTCGGAAAAAAGTTCACTCTTCTTCAGACTAAAACTTTATCAGACTTAGTTCATGAGAAATCTTAACCACAGTTAAAGAACTTTAAAAAAATTGAGAAATTTGGTATAGAATTGTCAAAATGTCTTCCGGAAAAAAATTCGGGAAAAAGTTTTTTCGTGATTTGCCCCTAGGGAAAATATCCTTTTCGGGAAAAAGGCCTATTTTACAATTTCGGGAAAATGTATTTCGGGAAATATGTTTCGGGAATTAGTGCGGTCACCCTCCGAATATCTCTGAATCTTTTGCCTTTTTTGTAAAGTAAAAAGTGTTAATTTACCGTTTTCCATTTATTCGTTCGATAAATAGACCATCATATAATAAGAAAATGGCTGTAATTGAGTTTAGTTCCATTCCAGAATTCCTCTCCAAATATTCAATGAGTAATTTGTGTTGTTCTAATAGTCCTTTGTAGTTGCTTTCATTTAAATAGATGGTCATTTCGTAGTCAAAACGATCACATTGTTTTGTAGTGGCCAAAAGATAATCTGTATCGGTTGGTTGTGTGTGTATTGGTATGGGATGCCAATGAATATCTTCATTCCAAATTTGATAATCAACTGGTGGGAAAAAGCCCGCCAAATTTGCAGCACCGCTCATAATTGTGCGATCAGTGTCCGTTGAACGAACATACACACGATTCGGCGAATATTCACCATTTACCAACAATCTTGCATATCGTCTGCGCAAATATTGGCCTAGTATATAATGTTGTTGCTTTCCCACCTAAAAAAAATAACAAAAATCATAGAAGCAAACACTTTTCACTTCAGCTTTCGGTTAGCTTACGGATGTTAAGGCTGAATATCCACCAGGCCAATGTTTTTCGTCCTAAAGAAGGTAACAGACAAATCTGTACATTGTAAACAGAGCATCTTGATTTGCTGCTGCTCAGCATATAGCTGAGAGCTGAGAAATGCTGAACTCGTGCGGCTAACGCATACGAAACGGATGCACGATACATATTCCCCTTTCACTTCGTATGTTCGCTGGTATAGTGTGTAACCATTGTACCGGCAATAGCGTCAACGGCAGCACATACGAAGCGAAAGGGGAATATGTATCGTGCATCCGTTTCGTATGCGTTAGCCGCACGAGCTCAGCATTTCTCAGCTCTCAGCTATATGCTGAGCAGCAGCAAATCAGGATACTCTGATTGTAAATGAACAAAATAAATGGCTTACCCTCCAGGGATCAGTCGGGTAGGGTCGAAATATGTTACGATCACCTATTATGAATTTTTCATTTGTGAATATGGCGAGTAATAATTTTATATTGTAAATTTACCATGTCTGCAGACGGTGTTTGCAAAAATTAATTCGCCATCCTTATTTGCGTATGCATCACCGGCATGTGATAATAGAAATAATACGTTCCAAATTATTTTCCACAAAACAACTACACCCATCGTAGATTTTCACAAACTGAATGCACACTTGCAACAATTGATTTATTCACACCAAATTTATATGAATTGTTGTCGGTTTTTCTTTAAATGAATTTCTATCATTTTAATTTCTTTTTGTTTTATTCCACAAATCTACACTCTGATTTTAATACACCTCAAGCTAATTTCGTAAATTTCAAGATAAAAATGTGCAATTGCGTATTTCTTTGCAGCTATAGTCTGTGACTTGCGACTGTTTCAAAATGCGTTTTAGAAATATTTGCTCCAATGAGCGTCTTTGAGAAAATTGGTGGAATAAAATAAGTAAATTATTTCATTAGATTAGTTTATTATAGTATTATACACTCCATTATTTATTATATATATTTAATCTAGAGCTTTTATTATGATTTAAATAATTGACCTTATAAGTTTGAATTTATTTGCGTCTGAAAGATAAGGCATTAATGAGAGATGACACCATTCAAAATTGAAATATATGCATATACATTGCTCATCTACTGCGGCTGTACGCCGTGATCGTTATCAAATAGTTCTATTAATCGATTGTTCAATAATTGTTCTAATTTATTATTCGCTTTTTTATTATTAAATATTTATTGATATTTCACAAATGCATCAAATTTATATTAGAATTGGTCATGCATCCAAGCGACACAATGAATGGTAATCCTCTGAATCGGTTGGCAAAATAGCAGCATATATTTGATATAAGTCGTTTAATGGACACTTTATGCCACAGCCTGGAAACTCTAACGGTGGAACATCTTCAAATTCATTTTTTCTATAAAACATTTGTATGTAATATTCCAATTCTCGCCGATACATCTCAAAGTGCAGGCTTGCTGCAGGTGGTGGAATTCTCATCTGCAATAGAAATATATATATATTCTTATATATTATAACCTTTTGAGATAGAGAAATAGAGAAAATTAAAATGGTATTTACATCATAAAGATTGAGAGCATTTAGTGTGTTAATGATTGTGTTGTCATGTGCGGAATAAATAAATAATTTTATATGTGATGATACTGTGCTTGATAATGTTCTATTTCTGAATCGATCGAAAATGTCTCGTATCAAGAACCCGGCTATGGTTTTTTTCATTTCAGTCGTATGTGTGATCATTTGAAAATTAGCCGCGGAAAAATATTCCAATAAATCTCTTGATGAGTTCAGTACATTGTTTGCCCAATCTGGTAAACTAAAATCAATGAAACATTGAAGTGGTTGGAATGTCAATTTAAATGTTATCCTTTACTCACGCCAATCCCAAATTTTCTTCAATACTCAGAGGGTCCCAAAAGATTCCAGCATTTTGTATTGTTTGGATTTTCTTTCCCGAATGTTGTTCCATGTATTCAAGCAATTTGCGGTGTTTTCTAAATAATGCGTCAACTTCAGATGAATTTGAGCTATAATCATGAATTTGTTCATCTCTTTTTGGGCATGGTATTGCTTGATAAACCAAATAATCGTCATTCAGTGGGACTGTGTGAATGGGAATTGGTGGCCAATTTAAATCACTTTGCCATCGCTGTTGTTCAGGCGGTGCGAACATTCCCGCAGCATTGCAAAGGGCTGAATTAATCGTTCGATTGGTGTCCGAACTTCGAATATACACATTTTCTGGTGAGAATTCAGCGCCAATATATTTTTCATATCTTTTTCGTAAATATTTTCCAAGCTTGAACTGTCTTTGTTTTCCCGCCTGAAAGTTTATTACTATTATTATTAAAAGACCTAACAATTAATTGATTCGTCTTACTTCTGTTAGAATTCCATTTCCAGTGTAGTTTTTATATGGATCGTTCGCGTATGTGTAAAGCAGACTTCGATTGCCATGCCGATATATCTGACCATGAGAATGAATCCAGCAAAATTAAAAAAAAAAACAGGTGAAACATTTAATTCACATACATACCACTTGAGCGAGAATGAACTCATCTTCAACGGGCTTACTAAGATTTAGCCATGGTGTTTCTGCAGCAAAATCACAAAATGCCATATGAAAAAGTGAAAAAGTAATCCAAAGTAATTTCTGTAAAACGTCCATTTCTTTCGACTATAAAACAACAAATAATATTGTCTACGTTTGGAATTATTTTGAAACAAAGATAACAATTCTTTGATAGATTCTTGTTTTTTAATTTTTTAAGCAGTTATCTCGCTTGTTACACATATTCAATAACCGCATTACCTTATGACCTTTGTATAATTAAGATTAAACAGTTGGCAATGCATTTTTTAATCAAAAATCAAATTCATTAATATAAAAATATCCATTATCTACGTAAAGCAGTCTATATTCGAAACCCAAACATTTTCAGTATCAATTTTATGATGAATATGGTTGATACTTGATAGATGATTTATTTTTTCAAATACATATTAATATTCTTGGTCGATTTTAGTAATTGACACTTATAACCATGTATTTAATTTACACGTGTATGAGGTTCCTTCAAAAAATGGGTTGATTTACTAAAAAACAATTATTGTCTTACTTTCAATCTGTAAGTTAAACGAAACCATCAACATCTTATTAACATTTAAAGTTATTTATAGAGTATATTGGTTACATCGGACATATTACAGTAAATTTTCCATATTAATTCACAATATTCTCGAAATTGTGTCATCCAAAATTCTGAACGTTCATACGAATTAAAGCATTGGTTTTAAGTCACATTTAATTGTGTAAATCATTGAAAATTGCTAACGTTTTGAACGAATGAATATTGATAAGATTCAAATGATCGTATCCATTTTATAAAAAAGTGAAAGAAAGACGTTCTTGGAATTATTGAATATAAAAATGAACTCATTATAATCGGCTATAAAAGAAAGTTGATTATTCGATTTCATTTCATCTGAGTTTTCGGAGAACAGACGCAGCCATGAAGCTATATTTAATTTTTGCAATATTTTGTTGTTCAATTCCGAACATTTTCGCACCATTTGCCGGTTATTTACCGCAAGGATTTCAGAGTACATGGCAAAGCGTTCAGGATACATACTTGATACCGGGGGCGATGCGCTTGATGACCGGTTACACAGCGGTGAAGAGATACTATGACGGGGAACCAGCTGAAAAAATTCTCAAAGACATGTATTTTGTGCATTTTCACATTTTCTCCACAGTTTACCATTTAGAAAAGAATTATTTCCGAATTTACAGAGGCGCCGATGCTTTCCTGAAAAATATTCCAAATGGGCAAGCAATTTTAGTGGGAATTCAAGTTACTGATGACATTCGAAATGGAAAAGATCCTATAAAAATTTTCAATGAAGTGTATGTGATATATCCATTTGAAAGTTGACATCGCAATGATTCATTAATAATCATTCGAGCACGAAATGATTCACAATTTTCAGAGGTAGAGATGCTTTCATCAAATACATTCCGAATGGTGAAGCTATTGCGAATGCAATCGCAACGACAATTGAAATAGGACAATGTTATAAGAACGGAACAAGCAAACAAGCAATGATGAAGAAATAGTTTGTTGATTTAATTTCACATTGAATTCTCGGCAGCGAAAAATAAAGAAGAATCTTATTTTAAATAGTGGCCAACCAGTTCTGGATAAATACGCTAACAGGGAAATGTTGGGAGATCTTATGAAACAAGCGCTCAATATAATGCCAGCGTATAGTCAACTCATATAAAAATTTTATTCGATCAATTTAACTTGAATGTACTTTTTTCTAACTTCAAAAATAGTTCTATTACTGCTGCTATAACTCCAACTCCGAAGGTTGTTCCAAAGATTGCTCCCAAAGTTGCTTCAAAGATTACTGCGAAAGTTACTCCGAAAGTTGCTTCTTTAAAAAGCAAAACTGGGAAGAAATAACACCCAAAAGCAGAAATAAGGATGTGAATGTGAGTAGATTTCTTTGAAACGATCTCATTACATTAGAAACGAAGGGGCAAAAATATATTTGCAATTAAAAACAAATTTTTGCGTCACAATACTGACAAATTGCATGCAATCAGTTATTTAGACCTTTTCTTCACTTTGCAATATTTTTACAGTTTGTTGAAGCCAACAAAGCTTACCATTAGACTAACATTGAAGGCTTTGAATCCAAAAACATCCAAAAGCCACATTTACTTTCACTTGCAATTTTTCTATTAAATCTTAAAATGCATGGAATAAATCTATTTTGAATGCTAAACACAATGTATTTTTATTCGAAATGTACTTGCATTTCTTTAGTTAATTCATCAATAAAAAACCTTATTGTAGCTAAATCTCATTGCTATCTTGAAATTTTTGTCGTTAGACAAAGTGAGACGCTGTGCAATAAATTCATTGCAAAACACAGTTCAAAGACATTGCTTACATATTTACTGGTACTCAGATTTGGGGGAAAATAACAGACAGATGCACGTCATATTATTTATTATAACGAATAAAAAAGTTTTTTTTTCAAAATAATCGCATTGTTTCAAAGACGATACCTACGCGAATACATGTATCACTTTTTTTACAGATTGCGCGCTAATTCTGACACTCAAAATCACCCGAATACATGTATCACTTTTTTTACAGATTGCGCGCTAATTCTGACACTCAAAATCACCATTATAGTCCATCGCGGCCCTTATTTTGTCACTGAGTTTCTCATAGTCTTTTTCATCTGCTTGTCGAAAATAGTTTGTTCCTTCTCTTCTTATCATCTACCTTGACCTTGAAAATGTATCTTTAAATTTGCTAAAGTTTACCAATTTAAAAGTGAAAATGATCAGTTATTGACTTTTCCATATATTGCCTTCAATTATCTCTATAAAGTAAAAAACGAATAGAATCGAGGTTTATGTATCTTGTCCGTGAACTAATCCAAGTCATAAAGTGTATCTCCACCAACCAAATAGGATAGAAAGCACAATTGTGATTGCACACATAATTGCAGGGAACAGATCTGAAATGTTGAATCGTTATGAAATGGCTTCAAATAAAATTATGTACAAAAAGATTTCACCAATTTTCTGTATAGAGTTTGGCTCCGATGTTAGATTACATTCTGTTTCAAAGTCTTCAGTTGGCAAAACATCTCGAAATAATCGATGAAATTCCTCTAATGAACACTTTGTTCCACAGCCGGGTATGTTTAATGGCGGAAAATCCTCCGCACTCGTATTTTTGTAAAACAATTGAACATAAACATTTTCTTTGCGACCTTCGTTAGATTTATATAATTCGAAAAATAAACACGATGCATAAGATGGTATGTGAGACTAAAAAAGAACAAACAGAGGTCCAAAGTAAATAACATTTGAAAACTTCTTCGGAAAAAACTACTAATACATCATAAAGATTTAGGGCGTTTAATAAATTCGAAATTGTTATATCGTGACCAGAGTAGATGTACAATCTCCGATCTGGGCTTAGTTTTGCTTCAGCTTTCTCCGAAAATCGTTCTAACATCTCTTTTAATAGAAAGCCAGATTTTAATTTTTTCATCTCGGTCGTGTGTGTAAGCATTTTGAATAAATGTCTAATGAAAATGCTCATTGTACTATCTGAATTCATCATATCTTCAGTCCACGAAGGTAATCTATTGAAAGTATATAATGAATTTATCTCTTAATAAAATATACGTGAATCTCCCAGATAATAATAACAGATAACACATACGTCAAATTTTCAAGATACTGGGTGTATAATGCGTCCCATACAAAAAATTCCTCAGTGACATTTTTTGTTTTCGTATTGTCCATTATGAGTTTGGTATATCGTTCGGCTTTACTTCGATACGCTAAATACTCTGGCAAATTGAAAATTTCTTTGAATGCTTTGTTGTATTGAGCGCATGGCCGCTCTGATGCCACAATATGATCAAGTTTCTTCGGGACTGTGTGTATTGGTATTGGACGCCATCTAAGCTCATCTGTCCATACTTCATGCTCTTCAATTGGAAAGAATCCGAGTAAATTTGCATTTGCGCTCAATATGGTCCGATCATAGTCAGACGATCGAATGTATACTTTATCTGCATCATATTTGCCATCATCCAACAGCTTGTAGTATCGTTTGCGTAAATATTTGCCCAACTCGAGGTGTGCTTTTAACCCTTTCTTTAATATGGAAATATCAACGATGACAAAGGATTTGTTGTGATAAACGCAAAACTTACCTGCGTCAGCTGGCCATTTAAACCATTTGGCCAAAAAAGTTTGCTGTTATATGGATCATTCAGATATGATTTCAATGGTGACCGATTTCCATGGCGATAAATCTGATGAGAAATAATTATATTGAAATCGTTGACGTGATTGGTGTTCTATTCATGTTGATTCTTACAATGTGTGCAAATATAAGCTGATCATTGTTTTGCACGGTGCCTTCATCGGTGTGATAACAAGTGCAAAAATCGATGTGAATAAATAATAAAACAAATATGAAATAGAACTTGTGGAACATCGTTTATTATATTCAATGGCGTATTTTGGAGAAAAACAGATGTCTATTCCAATGAATTGCTTCACACAAACTGATTCAATAATTTTTTCAACATGCAAAAATGTCAACGTTTTGTTCGATATAAAAACTCATCGTGCATTTTTCATAAATATTTAATCTATATTTACAAAGTAATATATCACGAACCTTTACAATTAACCTGTTTTTATTTGGATCGTGTGTCTTACAGTTGACATTTTACATCAACAACCATTGATATACTTGAATTTTGGAATGATTTATGAGAATTAGACATTTGAAATATACATTAAAATCGTTTACTGTGACTCAATGTTTAAATTTATATTCATATCTGCTTTTTCACATCAATATTTACAGCTGTGTGTATAAAACACATGGTTTTAGACGAGTGATTAAATAATAACATTACATGTAAGTATTTGTCCTTTGTTTACATTTCATTTTGAGTTTAATTCGATAAGCGGCACTCAGAATCGAAGTCACCTGGAATGATTTCGTCATATATTACGTAAAACTGTTCCAACAGGCACTTTTCACTACATTTCGGTATTTTCATTGGTACAAGTTCTTCTTCTTCGAATCTTCTGTAAAAGATCTGAACGTAGTGTTGATTTTCGTTAGTTTTGAAAAGTTCAATGTGCAAACTACTCGCATACGGAGCGATGTGTAACTAAAAAGAAAGAAAGATATAGATATATATTTTAAACGTGTTCAAATATTGAATTTTTATTCGACATGTCCCTGGTGACAATACCATTTGGTTTCGAATATTTGCTTGAAGAGAGGTTCTCGACGTTAATTTATACCATGCTTACCTCATATAATCCCAAAGCGTTCAATAGATTAGTGATGGTAATATCATGACAAGAATAAAGATGAAGCGTTCGATCTGGTTGCAATGTCGAATTGATTTTTTGCGAAAAACGCTCCAACATTTCTTTCAATAAAAATCCCGATTTGAGTCGGGCGGTTATCGGAGTGTCCGTATATGTTTTATAGTCAAAAGTAGCAATGTATTCCACCGTGCCATTTGGTTCAATTGCATTTTGTGCCCAATCATCTAAACTGGAGTACATTTGTTTTTAAATGCAAAGCTATTCGATATGTGATGTATGCAAACTTACGTTTTATTTTGATATCTCTCAATTTCGAGTGTATTGTATAGCCAGTATACGTCGGTGATTGTTGTAATATTTGCTCCGCTCATTTTGCTTAAATATGAAAAGATATCGGCATATTCCGTATAAATTCGTTGTACTTCTGGTGAATTTTTAAGATAATTTTCATAGGCAACGGTATATCTTGGACATTCTCTTGAACTCAACAGCACATGGTCCAATGTACTTGGCACTGTATGCACCGGAATTGGTTGCCACAATAAGTCATCGTTCCAAATTTCCTCTTTGTTCGGCGGAAACAGACCAGCCAAATTTGCGAGCGCACTCATCAACGTTCGGTCAGTATCTGTGGATTGAATGTACACTTTTTTTGGTGAATATTTATCGCCAAGGAGTTTGCCATAACGTCGTCGAAAATATTGACCCAATTTGTACTCTTGCCATTTTCCTTCCTGTATATTTGAATATTTTCACGTAAACAAATTGCTTTACTTATATTGAAATGAAAAACTTGCGTTTGTTAGTGCTCCATATCCACCCAACCAATAGCTTTCATTAGCATACCGGTCATTTGGAAAGGTTTGTGCGATATTTCTGTCACCGTGACGATATAGCTACAATACATCAACTTTAATTGAACAAATGAGTAGTTTAATATTGTTTTATTATTTTCACTTACAACGTGTGCAAATATTAATGTATCATTTGATGATTTCAATCGATTGTGGTCATTGTCCAACTCAATTGAAGTTAATGTCGGAGATGAATATAGTTTTGAAGGTATTCCGAAAAATAAAATCACTAAAACAAGTAAATTGGGTGACTTCATGTTCGAGTAGCTTTTCAAAATGTCCACTATTCAATGTTATAAAATTACTTTGACTCGATACGGACAGTAGCCATGACCAGAATTTCATACTTTATTATCTTTGTCGCCGAGATAACACAAAATATGATGTCGATTTTAGAACACTTTAAAAATTAAAACACTTGAAGTAGAAATAAAAAAAATAATTTATCACATAAAAAATTACTGCAAAGTCATATATTTCGTCGAAATAATTTCGATAAGATTTGGTTAAAAACAAGTATATGTTATATTGAGATGCAAAAAAAAACATTTAAATTTTATCATTTCAAAGCTCGTCATCAATTGCTTAACTTCGTTTTTACACGTTTTTACAGTGCGCACTCAGAATCCAAGTCATAAATTGCATCAAATGGATTTTATCTCCTCCAACCAAATAGCATTGAAAAAGCAAATGTGATTGCACAGATAATTGCAGGGAATGGTTCTGAAATTTTGAATCGTTATGAAATGGCTTCAAATAAAATTATGTACAAAAACATTTCACCAATTTTCTGTATAGAGTTTGGCTCTGATGGTAGTTTACATTCTGTTTCAAAGTCTTCAGTTGGCAAAACATCTCGAAATAATCGATGAAATTCCTCTAATGAACACTTTGTTCCACAGCCGGGTATGTTTAATGGCGGAAAATCCTCCGCACTCGTATTTTTGTAAAACAATTGAACATAAACATTTTCTTTGCGACCTTCGTTAGAATTATATAATTCGAAAAATAAACACGATGCATAGGGTGGCATGTGAGACTAAAAAAGAACAAAGAGTGGTCCAAAATGAATGATGGAACATTTCCCGAAAACACTTTTTCATGAACGAACATTTTCCCGAAAATTCAGGAGATCTTTTTTGAAGAATTACCAAATTTTCGGGATAAAATTCGCTTGGGAAAAAGTTTTTTTATCGACATTTGAAAAATTCTTCTGAAAAAAAGTACTAATACATCATAAAGATTTAGGGCATTTAATAAATTCGAAATTGTGTTATCGTGACCAGAATAGATGTACAATCTATGATCTGGGCTTAGTTTTGCTTCAGCTTTCTCCGCAAATCGTTCTAACATCTCTTTCAATAGAAAGCCAGATTTTAATTTTTTCATCTCGGTCGTGTGTGTAAGCATTTTGAATAAATGTCTAATGAAAATGCTCATTGTACTATCTGAATTCATCATATCTTCAGTCCACGATGGTAATCTATTGAAAATATTTAATGAAACATGTTTTATCTGTAGACGATTTACGTCAGACTATTAATAAAATATACGCGAATCTCCCAGATAATAATAACAGATAACGCTTACGTCAAGTTTTCAAGATACTGGGTGTATAATGCCTCCCATACAGAAAATTCCTCAGTGACGTTTTTTGGTTTCGTATTGTCCATTATGAGTTTGGTATATCGTTCGGCCTTACTTCGATACGCTAAATACTCTGGCAAATTGAAAATTTCTTTGAATGCTTTGTTGTATCGAGCGCAAGGCCGCTCTGATGACACAATATGATCAAGTTTCTTTGGGACTGTGTGTATTGGTATTGGACGCCATCTAAGCTCATCTGTCCATACTTCATGCTCTTCAATTGGAAAGAATCCGAGTAAATTTGCATTTGCGCTCAATATGGTTCGATCATAGTCAGACGATCGAATGTATACTTTATCTGCATCATATTTGCCATCATCCAACAGCTTGTAGTATCGTTTGCGTAAATATTTGCCCAACTCGAGGTGTGCTTTTAACCCTTTCTTTTATATGGAAATATCAACGATGACAAAGGATTTGTTGTGATAAACGCAAAACTTACCTGCGTCAGCTGGCCATTTAAACCATTTGGCCAAAAAAGTTTGCTGTTATATGGATCATTCAGATATGATTTCAATGGTGACCGATTTCCATGGCGATAAATCTGATGAAGAATAATTATATTAAAATCGTTGACGTGATTGGTGTTCAATTCATGTTGATTCTTACAATGTGTGCAAATATAAGCTGATCATTGTTTTGCACGGTGCCTTCATCGGTTTGATAACAAGTGCAAAAATCGATGTGAATAAATAATAAAACAAATATGAAATAGAACTTGTGGAACATCGTTTATTATTTTCAATGGTGTATTTTAGAGAAAAACAGATATCTATTCCAATGAATTGCTTCACACAAACTGATTTAATAAATATTTCAACCAGATGGAAAAATTTCAACGTTTTTTAATATACTATAAAAGCGCATTGAGCATTTGTCATAAATGTCTTATCTAAGCAATTGAAAGCAATATATTAAAAGCCCATGCAATTTCTACTTTAACTTGTTTTTAGTTGGATGTTGTGTCTTACAGTTGACATTTTACATCAACAACCATTGACATACATATATAATATACTTTATCTTATACGTCTGTGTGACGTAAGAAAATTTTCATTAAAATTCATGCGAAAATCAAAAATAAATTTAATAAAAAGCTACAGTTCAACATTTGACAATGCTGTCGATAAGTTTGGCGGTAGTTAGTTTTGAAATCTCTTCTCGATTGCTATTATCGCTATCTTCGTCTTCAATCTCACCATATTCAATATGAATATTCTTTCCTTGGCCGGCAATGATAGCTCGTTCAAATGCTGGTGGCAAAATAAGTTTGAAGAATTTCGATGCCGTCTATATTTTTGTGTTCCTTTATCCTTTTTTTCGGCTTTCTTCGGCACCTTTTTTGCTTTATTATTCACAACTTCTTCCAAATGCATCACTTTAACGACATTGTTGTTCGGTTTTCATTCACCCACTGGAATTAGAGAGAAAATTATAATATTGTTTAAACGTAAAAGAATTTTCGATAAAATTTAACAAGAAAATGTACACTTGTCGTTGAAAATGCTTGGTTCACTTTTTAAAGAAAGAAATTCCATGGTCTTACCCTATTTTTACTCAAGGAAATACGGAAAATACACGCAATTTGGTTTTTCTTATTTAAAGTTGCGAGTTTGTTGTGTAAACATGAAGAATTATTTTGTCGATGGCGAGCATAATATATATTATTCGATATTGAAATGTATTTAAAATGTAAATATTTTTGAAGCGTTCGATTTTTACTACGGAGTCTTGCCATTGGCTTTAGACCCTACTTTTGTGAAGTTATTCGATTTTTTTCTCCAACGATCATATTACATTGACTCGAGCAAATCTCTTCCAGGTAACCTCAATGAAAAAAACACACGAGACATATTTAAATTCATTTCGGTTGATATGCTATTTAATTTTCATTCGGGTCGTTGCGACCAACGCAGTCTAGATAAAATGCGAACCACATTTTTATTGTGTTCAGCTCAAGTATGAAATTTATCATCCTTTTATTGTAAATAAAAGTAATGTACTTGCATTTCGGAACGATTTATGAGAATTATATATCTGAAATATACATTAAAAGTGTTTACTGCGACTCATTGTTTAAATTTATATTCATATCTGCTTCCTTATATCATTATCACAGCTGTGTGTATAAAAGAAGAGACGATTGATTAAAGAACAGCATTACATGTAAGTAGTTGTCCTTTGTTTACATTTCATTTTAAATTTAATTCGATAAACGGCACTCAGAATCGAAGTCACCTGGTATGATTTCGTCATATATTACGTAGAACTGTTCCAATAGGCACTTTTCACTACATTTCGGTATTTTCATTGGTACAAGTTCTTCTTCTTCGAATCTTCTATAAAAGATCTAAACGTAGTGTTGATTTTCGTTAATTTTGAAAAGTTCAATGTGCAAACTACTCGCATACGGAGAGATGTGTAACTAAAAAGAACGAAAGATATATATTTTAAACGTGTTGAAATATTGAGTTTTTATTCGACATGTCCCTGGTGACAACACCATTTGGTTTCGAATATTTGCTTGAAGAGAGGTTCTCAACGTTAATTTATATTGGGTGTATAAATTAATTTTGATCGTTTTTTTGGTGAAAGGAAACATTTATTTAAAAATAATAAGAATGAGTACATTAACCAATGTACTGCCCATAGTTAGCTATGACTTCGGCCCATCTTCTTGGCAGCTTGTCGATTCCGCGTCGAAAGAATTCCTCATCTTTTCCAGCTATCCATTGATCGACCCATTTTCGCACTCCTTCAGAATTTCGAAACGATATCTCAGACAAGCCCATTTGCATTGATCGAAACAAGTGGTAGTCAGAAGGGGCAAGGTCTGGAGAGTACGGGGGGTGATCAAGCTCACCCCGACCAGAGTCCCCTATCTTTTTTTTTGCGATGTTTGGAATATGTCAAATTTTGATGAATCCTTCGACTATTTCTTGTCGCAGTTTTTCTCAATTTTTCTCTCAGTAATCTGCTCAAACGTATTGGTTGTAGTCGATACCGATCCCCCGTGACAGTTTCACCCGGTTTCAGCAGCTCATTATACACCACACCACTTTAATCCCACCAAATAATGAGCATTACCGAGAAATCATCAAAATCCTGCTATGCAATCGATTTTGATGATTGTGTGGGATTGAACGCTTATTTTTATGCCTGAGGTTATCGTAGCAGATGCCCTCTTCACTTCCAGTTACAATACGATACAAAAATTCCTTTCTCTCCTATTTTTGGAACATTGTGCCAAAATGTGAAAAACGTCTTACAATTAGTTTTGGATTCAACTGGTATGGCACAAAATTCCTTTGGTCTTACCTCATTATAGAAGTCTTAAAAGGATTGATTCGCATATATTTAATGCTTCTGATGTTTTCTGATGCATTTTCATGCATCTTTATCGAATTTAAAATGCCAACAGCCCATCATTCAATTTTTTTTGGTGAGTTCACAGTTTTTCAACAAATTCACCACTTCTTTTTCACCAAATTCAACATTCTCTGTGGCGAATGAGAGGTCTCGTCTCCTGCAACATTTTATAACCTTTAGATGTATTTTCACTTTATTCAAAGTGAAAAAATTGAACCAAAGGAGACCAGACAGAAAAACACTTTTTCATCGCTCATTTTGAATCGATCAGAAAATAATGACACTGTGTCAAAAATAAATCTTTCTGCTCTGAATTAGATTGGCAAATGTCACATGTACAAAATGCAATTGGATTCAACTGTCAAACTTCATACAAGTTTAAGTGGCGACATCTAATTGTCAGCGATCAAAATCAATTTATACACCCAATACCTTACCTAATATAATCCCAAAGCGTTCAATAAATTAGTAATGGTAATATCATGACAAGAATAAAGATGAAGCGTTCGATCTGGTTGCAATGTCGAATTGATTTTTTGCGAAAAACGCTCCAACATTTCTTTCAATAAAAATCACGATTTGAGTCGAGCAGTTATCGGAGTGTCTGTATGTGTTTTATAGCGAAAAGTAGCAATGTATTCCACCGTGCTATTTGGTTCAATTGCACCCAACCAATTGCATTCTGCGCCCCATCGATCATTCGGAAAGGTTCTTTCGATATTTCTGTCACCGTGACGATACAGCTACAATAAATCAACTTTAATTGAACAAATGAGTAGTTTAATATTGCTTTATTATTTTCACTTACAACGTGTGCAAATATTAATGTATCATTTGATGATTTCAATCGATTGTGGTCATTGTCCATCTCAATTGAAGTTAATGTCGGAGATGAATATAGTTTTGAAGGTATTCCGAAAAATAAAATCACTAAAACAAGTAAATTGGGTGACTTCATGTTGGAGTAGCTATTCAAAATGTCCAATATTCAATGTTATAAAATTACTTTGACTCGATATGGACAGTAGCCATGACCATAATTTCATATTTTATTATCTTGTCGCCGAGAAATCACAAAAATTGGTTGCGATTTATGAAAAAAAAAAAAAAAAAATTATCACTTTAAAAATTACTGCCAAGTCATATATTTCGTCGAAATAATTTCGATAATATTTGATTAAAAACAAGTAAATGCTATATTGAGATGCAAAAAAAAAACATTTAAATCATTTCAAAGCTCGTCATCAACTGCTTAACTTCGTTTTTACAATGTGCACTCAGAATCGAAGTCGCCTGGTATGATTTCGTCGTATAATATGTAGAATTGTTGCAGCGGGCATTTAGTACCACATTTTGGTATATTCAATGGTGAAAGAATTTCTTCTTCGGATTTTTTATAAAAGATTTGTATATAATGTTCACCGTCGCGTTTATATAGTTCAAAAATCAAGCTTGATGCATATGGTGGCAAATGAGGTTTCTAGAAAGATCGATTTTACTTGAGTAACATTTTCGCATTCACCACAACTCATAATTACCTCGAAAAGTCCCAAACTATTCAAAAGATTCGCTATGATATAATAGTGGGTGGATTGAAACCATAGTAAACGGTCACGATCCGGTTTCAATGTTGAGTTTATTTTTTGAGAAAATCGCTGAAGAATTTCCTTAAGAATGAATCCCGAATGCAGTCTGGCCAATTTTGTGGTGTTCGCGTACATTTTAATGTCAAATAGTGTTATATATTCCATTACTCCATTCGGTTCAATTGCTCGCTTTGCCCAATCTGGTAGTCTGCATAAAATTGAATAAAAGAATTAATTTTCAAAGTCTTTTCGTTGATGTGGTAGTATATATTTTCTTGAAAATGCTTTAAAAACACTCGAAAAAATGTGAAATGCTTACGATTTATTATGCTCAGTTTCAACTACAAGTGTATTATATAGTACATAAACATCGTCAATTGTTGTGATATTCAGTCCGCACATCTTTGACCAGTATGCAAAATGGTCGGCATATTCGGTATAAATGCGTCGCACTTCAGACGATTCATCCATATATTTTTGCACTTCAACATAATATTTGGCACATTCTTTCATTATCCATTTATGGACTGGAATTGGTTGCCAATTCAATTCATCGTTCCAAATTTCCGTTTCGCTTGGTGGAAACATACCGGCTAAGTTTGCGAGAGCACTCTATTACAATAAAAAGTATAAATTGCATGCGTGCCTTTAACAATAATCATTTAAATATGAACATACGGCAATGGTTCTATCCACGTCACTTGCTTCGACATAAACTTTTTTCGGCGAATATCCGTCTGCAAGCAATTTACCATAACGTCGGCGAAAAAATTGTCCCAACTTAAAATGTCGCATTTTGCCAGCCTGTTAATGTGTTGAAAATTATAATTGCCCATTAAAGGATTTTTCGTAATGCACAGTTAGAACAAATGGAAAATTCTACAATATGTACACCAAGCACGCAACCACTTTTCGTTTATTTCAGTTTTTGGTGTTCAATCGAATTGGAGTTGTTTGTTTGTTTTTGAAACACAAAAAGTTCACTTTTTAAGGAGTTTTCGAACTATTTCGCTCTTTTTTAGTTCACACAAGTTTCTTATGAGTTTAAAGATATTTGATCCACCGTTTTATTACCATCTTTCAATAAACAACATCAATTGAGGTTGCTTGCTTCAAACTATTTCTTCACAAATGTGACAACAAAAGTTTGAAAGTTTCGAAAGCCGTGGAAATAAGTTTATAAAAAATTGATTTTCAGATTGTTATTTGGTGGTTTGAATGAAAAACTTACGTGAGTTAATTGGCCAAATCCACCTTCAAACGAAAAGAAATAATATCATAGCAAATTAGTTATTGAATGAAAAACAAAAAATGAATGAAACTGGCGGAATCAACCTTGCCAATAGCTCTCATCAGCATATGGATCGTTGGGGTATATTTTGTTTATGTTTCTGTCACCATGTCTGTATATCTATTCGAAAAAAGAATTTGTGAGTATTACTCACTGAGTGAAATGACGATAGAACCAACGTTAGGATGGCAAAATGTTATTTTATTATTTTTACTTACAACATGTGCAAATATCAATGTGTCGCCGCTTGTGTTAAACTCAAGTGATTTCACATAATCCAATGCAATATTATTTGTCGAACAAAATACGTATGTTGGATTTCCCATTAGCAAAAGCATGAAAATTTTGAACCGTAAACACTTCATGTTTCAATTTGATTTAGAATTCAATTTATTTCAAAAGCAATTCAGAAAATTAATATTTGTTGATTATACAGCGTGTAGGTTTATTGAGTATCAAATTAAAAGTAACATTTTAACCAGACTATTGTTGTGTTTTATTGCGTTGGTTTGCTTATCACATTAGAAGAGTAATGATAAGAGGTTTTGCTCATTTTCCATTGGCCATTCAACTTCTTCAAGCTATCACACAGGAAGCGATGCGTTCGAAATAGATATTTCTTATTTTTATTCGACATGAGCTTGCGTAGTCTTTGATAAATGTTATTGACGCTATCTGTGCAGTGACTATTTATCATGACACTATGCGTACAATCTAATTTTGTAGCATATTATTAAGCAGTGTGATATAAGATCCAGCGGTACTCATAATCTAGAGAGAAAACGAGGGTGAGGGGTAGAGAGAGAGAGAGAGAGAGAAAGAGAGAGAGAGAGAGAAAGGGACGAAGTTGAGACTGGGAAAATGTATCGTAAGAAAAGGGAAATTTGTTGTTTCAAAAGTGTGCTCTATATGATGTACCTTTGTATATGCGTTTAAAGTGACTTCGAAAAATGGTACCCTTATTAGTTTAGCCTTTCGACCTCTGAGTATTAACATGGCAATCATCTTTTGATTATTTATATCGATATAATGCCAGTTTGCTTCCCATACAGCTTTCCATATGTCCAAACTCTAAAGAATATCACATAAAAGAAACCATTCATTTATTATTATTGACCCAAATCTTTGCTTTTATGGAATATTCAACATGTTCACTGATTTGATTTCCTGCATAAGCATAAGCATACGACTGTATCGCAACGGTTAATATATAAACAGCGTATAAGATTTTATCCAATCCAGGTGCCTGAAATAAATTTCAATAAAAGCAAAATATATGATGCACATCTTCAAACGAAGAAAATTCCATAAACAACGATGAACATACGATGAGAAAATCAATCGAACCGATGCCAATAATCACCGCCACAGAAATGAAATGCAATAGGATAATCGATGTGAATACTTTGATAAATAGGTCGATTAGCTCAAAGAGTTTGACCTGCTCTGCAATGGCATCGATCAGTTTGTTTCGTAATTGTTGATTTTGGTTTTTTGTTAAAATGCCATTGCTTGCCACTTGATTGAAGATATTGCGAATTTTCATCGCATTCAATTGAAATTGAGCGGCAATATGAAAGCATGCCGTTATGAAAATGCTATCAACACCATTAAAACCAATCGCAGTACAGTAGCCACCATGCGATAAGTGCAAAAAGCACGGTAAAAATGTTTTGTCCGTATATTGATCTATAAATGGATAACTTTTTGTGTGAAGAAACGAAAAGCAGATGCTTAGACTCTGAATTGCCGTTTGAATATAATACGTTGAACACTTACACCGCTTGAAAAGGCTGCTCTCTTATCAACGGTTGACCGGTGAAAAAGTAAAATAAATTCTTGAAAATCGGTGTAAAGACATAAAGCGTACACGTTGTAAGACCACCGGATGCAAGTAACACGGTTGAAAACATTGTATAGAGAATGACTCGACGATAAATAGCAATCTCCTCCTTTCTGTAATCTATAATTGAATTCCATATTTATTTTAAAATATTTTCATCTTTTGAAAAATGTGCAACACCTCATACCTTGTGTATAATATTCAAGAAGTGTTCGCAAAACAACACCGAGTTCATTGCGATAATAAAATACAACTGCCAATTTTGTCCTACATCAACATTTTAGAAAAATCATTTCGTTGAAATACAGAGATTGAATTCAATTCTTACCATGAAATCAACTCAAAAGCACTGCCACAAAATGATTCCAATGCCAAATACAAATTGTTCAAATTCGCAAAACCATGTGCAACACCGAATATGGCCGTAAAAAAAAGTGATATGAAATTGATGTAAAATAAAATTGGTAAAGGACCTTGTTTCATTGGCCAAATGCCGAAAATTCGTAAGAAAATGCGTGCCGTTCGAAAGAAATCCTTTTGCGACAAATGATTGTCCGTCGTTTCTTTGCTGATGAACATTTTTTCTCGTTTATTTTGATGTAGCTGAGAAAATCTTCAAAATAACTGTGATGAAATACAGAAAAGTTGACTTCTTTTATATACAAAATGAAAATTCAATTTTTCTTCAAACTATTTTCAGTGAAAAATTGTGAAGAAATTGAAAAAAGTTTTCAAAATGGATTAATGACAAGGTAGGATGGCTAATTGTATGGTTTAAAATACGTATCTGTAAACAATCATCAACAAAAAGTTTTTATTTGGGCTGGAAATGGGCGTTTTAATACAGAGAAAATAAAGAAAATTTCTTCAGCAAATTTTCAGTTTCACTTAAAGGCCATATCATAACCGGACATGTTGTGTAAGAAGGAATTTATGAAATAATTGCTTAATTTGTGTCTTTTCAATTGTTATAGAAAACAAAGCATATCGAATGTGTTATCGTTTTGATTTAAATTCGTCTATAATTTTGAAAATTATCGTAGACGCCATAGCGATACACAATACAAATAAATTAGACGAATTTTACCATTGTTTCATAGTTGTTTATTTTTGAATGCTGTTTGAGGGTTTCTTTCAACAGAGTTGGTAAAAAAGTGACTTTTCTGTCAACTTTAAATGTGCATATTAATGCTAGTAAAAGAGACTAGAAATTCGACTTCACTTGTTCCTTTCTCTTTAATAATACACTTTATATTTATGATTACTGCTCATTTTGCAGTTTACATTCGGTTTCGGGATCAGATGGCAAAATGTCTCTGTATAATTCGAATAAACGATCTAACGAGCACTTTGTGCCACAATTTGGAAAATTCAATGGCACTGGATTTTCTTCATTTGATTTTCTGTAGAATAATTGAACATAATAATCATCACTCGACTTATACAATTCAAACAGAAGACATGATGAATACGGTGGAATTTGACCCTGAAATAATTCGAAAATTAGAGCAGTTCAGTTGACAATTGTATAAAAAAGAATACCTCAAAAAGTCCAAGAGAATTTAACATAGTGACTAATGTTGTCTCATGACCGCTATACATATATAATAAGAGGTCTGGTGTCAAGGTTGAACGAGTTTTATTTTGAAAACGTTCTAGTATTTCTTTAAGAAGAAATCCCGGCCTCAACTTCTTAAGTTCAGCAGTATTGCTGAGTATTTTATACCAGTAATCATTCAAGTAATTAAAATCTCCGCCAGGTATGAATAGTTTTTGCGTCCATTCGGGTAATCTGTATGACATGTGAAACATTTTACTTGAAAAGTCGTTGAACTATTAAAAGTCATGAAAATGAAAGGAAGAATATCTACGTTTTGTTCATCATATGTTCAACGTTCAAAGTGCCCCAAAGATTTTTAACCTGTTCCAAATTGCGTATCGGTTGTCCAGCATGTGTTTCCAAGTATTGAAGTAACTCCTGGTGTTGGTCCAATATTTCTTTAATTTCAGCTGTTTGTTGGTATTCTTTCAGTACATTTTCATACCGAGGACATACACCCTTTGAGAAAATCAAAAAATTATCTTGTGCGGTTGGTATAGAATATACAGGAATGGGTTGCCATAGTAAGTTTTTATTCCAGATTTGATTATCCTGTGGAGGGAATAGGCCTGATAGAACTAACGAAGCGGAATTTATAGTGCGATCGAAAGCAGACGATAGGGTGTATACTTTATCCGGATGATAAGAACCATCTCCGAGTAATTGTTCATATCTTCGCCGAAAATATTGACCAAGCTCGAATGCACGCTGTTTACCTAACTGAAAATTGGATTTGTTTCAACGGTTTATATTTCCTGTGCACATTACATAATCAACTTACATTCGTAAGCTGCGCGAAACCTTCAGGCCAATTTACTTTGTCTTTGTATGGATCATTTTTGTATGTGAATTGAATATTACGATCACCATGCCGAAATATCTAGTCAATTTAATCTTAATTAAATTATCATTACTTGATAACAATTTTATTTTTTGTACTTTTACTGAGATTTCAGAAGATAATATTACATAATACATATATATACATATTTTTTCTTTTTACTTACAATTTGAGAAAATATCAATTCATTTTCAGTTTTATTCACTCCACTACAATTGGCGAATTCAAAAAGACAAAGCAAAAATACTATCCAGTACATTATTGGCCGCATGATCGATAGTTAACAAAGTTTGATCCAATCTGAAGCCAAAAACAAATCTTATCTCTTTGTATGGAACCAAAATCAAAATGCAAAAATATACAAATATCACATGAAATCGATGTTAGAATTTACCCGTAGCTGACAGTGCTGTAAAAAAGTTATGCTTTATTGAAATAAAAGACGAAACAGTTAGAGCGATATTATTTAATGTGTGAATCGTTTGAACGCTAACACGAGACTGAATAAATTGAATGACACAATATTGAGCTGTCAGTTCGACTTAAGATTCTGATATACGCTGCTATAAAATGTATTTTTTTGCTGTTTGTATTACTCAAATCATATTCACTTCTAAATATGAAAAGTTTTGGAAACTCATTGAAATGAAAAGTAAAATAAAAGATTTTGAATCAGGAATTTGGTCGGCCTTTGGTTATTTTTGGTCGGTTTACCTGTACCGGCCAAAATCGAAGTCTTCTGCTTAATAGAAAAACATGACTATGAGTTTAACAATAAAAATTTATTCTTATTTTATTAATATCTCGCCCTATTCGTTTGATGGCAGACATTCTGTTTCGAAATCGGTTGGTAAAATGTCATCAAATAATTCATAAAATTTATCGATGGGACATTTTGTGCCGCAATTTGGAATATTCAGTGGCGTTGGATTTTCTTCATTTGATTTTCTGTAGAATAATTGAATATAGAAACTATCGTTGGATTTGTACAGCTCACAAAGCAGGCTCGATGCATACGGTGGTATATGTACCTAAGAAATGGTTAGAAAATGTATTAAAAATTGATATAATTAAATGCATCAAACGGTCGGTATACATTGTGGAAAACACCAAGACTGTTCAATATCCCAGTGATTGTGACATCGTGGGCCGAATAGAGCCAAAAGGAGCGATCCGGTGATAGAGTTGAAAGAGTTTTACTTTTGAAACGATCCATAATCTCTCGAAGCAGAAAACCAGATTTCAGTCTTTTCAATTCGGTTGTTGCAGAGGTAATAACCAGCCAGGATTCAGCCAGTTTCTCGAACGGTCCTCCGGGTATAAGAACACTTTGTGTCCATTCAGGAAGCCTGTAAATTCAAACAATGTTTTTATAACTTTCAAAAATGAAATGTGAACGTACGTTTTATTCATTTCTTTTTCAACTTCTAACACATTCTGAAGATCTTTTAACTGTTGGATGTTTCGAATGGGTTGGCCTGCATGTTTTTCCAAATATTCGAATAAATCACGATGTTTTTCGATTAATGCTTTGAATTCATCCGTTTGTTGATATTCGTTTAGCAATTTTTGATGTCTCTCACAACCTCCTTCGGCAATGAGCAAATAGTCTTCATCATTTGGTATAGTATTGACAGGAATTGGTTGCCAAAGCAAATCTTCATTCCAAATTTGATTATTTTGCGGCGGAAATAAACCACTCAACACCAACGACGCACTGTTCATGGTTCGATCACGGGCAGATGATAGTACAAACACCTTATCAGGGTGATAAGATCCATCGCCGAGGAGGTTTTCATATCTTCGGCGGAAATATTTTCCCAGTTCATACATCTGTTGCTTGCCCAACTGGAAACATCGTATTTTTTAAGAAAAATTCTTTAATAAATTAAACGAATCTCTCACTCTCAAAAATTTGTGAAAATTTGGATGTGTGAAGCCTTTGCTTACAACTGAAAAAATATGAATGAAAAACTTACGTTTGTAAGCTGTCCGAAACCTTCCGGCCAATGTTTAGCATCCTTGTATGGATCATTTTCGTACGTTCTTAGAATCGTTCGTGATCCATGCCGGAATATCTATTTGATAAAAAATGCATTTTTTTCAATTAGTGAAGATGAAATCGTGTGAAATTTATATTTATTTATACCCACAAGTTGCGTAAATATCAACTCATCTTCTGTCGGATTCACAACGTTACAATTAACTAATGTAAAACCCAGCAGAAACACTGTCAAAATGATCATTTTTAAATCAATGTATTAACAAAATCGAATGACGCTTCATGAAATTTAAAATCACAGCTTAAAGAAACACGACTTTATAATTCAGTGTCACATTTTCAACTAAAATTCATAAAAGGTCACACAATGAGTCCGACTTATACTTGATAAACATCTTTTTATGTATTAAAGAAAAATACAAAACAAAATTCACTGACCAATACTTTTTAATAATGTATTCAGATAAACAGAGGCAAATCAAATCGAGTTCAACAAGTCCAATTGATTTCATTTGAACTCCCATAACTTTACCTATTTAAAACTCAATGAGTAATTCAGTGTGATATTATGTCAGAGTACGTTTTGTGATAGTATGATTTTTGCTGTTTGTATTGATTCATATCAATTGCTTTATAAATTCAATTTATTTTTCTACGAAGTTGTAGTCAAGTGAACTGAATCGACGTGATGAATTAATTTTCGACATTGATTTTGATTGCACGTGCCTGTAAATATTAAATGACATAAAACCATTTCTATCAGTCCGAAATCGATCAATATGCAAATGAGTAGTCCACATTTTTTCCATTCTTTTTTTTTCAAATCCACTACCGACTACGGTAGTGGACTATTATACGGTATTTTATTATGTGAATATGTATTTTAATTCCAGTTTTCGCATCAACTCAAGAAAGAGACAATGTAAGTCTTGTTAATGCATACATATGGCCAATACGATATTAACCGGCTTCTGTTTTGCATTCGTTCGCAGCACAAAATTATATTCGTTGCGTCATAAATATGGCCTTGAACAATTACTTCGAAACAATATTCCATTAAAATTGTGACGTAATGGTAAATTACAATACTAAAGTGATGATTATTTATCAATTGAAATCGTACACTTTACACTTTGAAACTATTAGTGCTTCATGTTTATGATGATATACAATGTTAGTAGATGGGCTACGGTATATTTTCATTTCATACTAAAAAAAGTGTTGATATTCCCAAGGAACAATTGTTAGCGCAAATCACCCATTACCAGGCCCAAGTTTACGGTCGAATTTGGGGTAGCATTCGTGTGTAGTTTCAGTCAATTTTACCGTCGCAATGGAAAGAAAAAAAGAAAAGAAAGCACAATTCAATTAGACTGATATGAAAAAATTGACTTGATTCATAATCATCATTATGCTATTGTATATGCAATAGACTCCACTTACCGAGTACAATTTATACCAAGAGGTACTCGTACTTTGGCAAGGCCACAATTTAATCAAGCCTAGCGAACTAACAAATAATTGTTATAAACTAATTTCTAAATTTAGTATTGTTTGAATGTTGTTGAATGAGGGCTGCTACTACTGCGGCTGCAGATGTCCATTGTTGACATTCTGATTCTGACCTCGATACAACGGCAATGGCTGATTGTTGTCAACACGGCGTGGTCTCCGTACATTTGGATGAATTGTCCGCTTGAACACCACGCATTCACCTACCGAATGATACATAACAAAAACACATTACATGTATAACAATTGCTTCAAAATTTGTATCAATTTCAATTGATTGCATACCTTTGTAGAGGATCAGCTTCGCTGCTGCGATATCACGGTGCCATACAGTTGTGAGCGTTGGTTGTGCTCCGGCAGCTCCCTCGATTTCAACGTTTGCAACATTTGGTAGCCATGTTTTGAAGAAGCGTTGCTTCTTTGACACCAAACGACCTGCATTCGGTCCATCTCGAAGAGTTGCAGCAATGACATCGCCTATATCACGCATCTCGCGCCACATTCGTTCAATTGTTCGTCGCATTTGTAGTAATCGTTTGCTCACATTGGTTACGATGGTTCGTGGTAGTCCAACAATTGGATTTGGTACACAACCCACACATTTCTTGTATCGATCACGTCGAGTTTCTTGTGGAAATCGCTTGAAACACAATGGGCAATGTTGTGATGTCATATACTCATCGACCATCCGAACGATACAATTTCCACGTTTCATTATGGCTGCAATCAGTTTGCGAGTGCCTGGGCATCGCACGTGTTTTTTGATTTTGATCGGTGAGTTGGCTGGTGTGGATCCACTGGCTCCCATGTAGAAAATTGATGGTTGATTGCGTGTCAGTTTGCAAGCCGTTTTGTCGATCGCACGAACCGAGTCGATATGCTTGTCCAATCCCAAGCGTGCATATTGCTTACACGTGTACGTTTCAATGCCATCATTCATAACTCGTAGTCGATGTTCAATATACGAGCGCCATGATGTTTCTCTTGGCGATGGCATTGTACCCAGAGTCGCTGCAACTCGATTGCGATCAGCTTTCTCGTCGTATGTAAATAATCGGGTGATTCGTTCGGCTTTTGCATTACGTCGGCCTTGTTTCGCATCCCAGTGATACCGTTTGCTGGATATGCGCAAATTCACCTAACAAAATGATAACAACAAAAACGACATTGTATTCACAATCACAATCACAATATCAATCACTTTCATTCATTATGAAAAATTGAATTTACCTCTTCTTTGGTATCCAAATCACGACGCACTGAAGCGTTCCAGGTTTTCATGCCCGGGTCACAGCCAATAGCATACTTCAATTTGTTCCCTTTGTACATTTTCATGATTTCAGCATCACTTATTTCGAGTGGTGGTAATTTTGGCTTTTTGTACATCATCGAAACAGACACACCGTCCGAACAAATTTGGAAATCGAAATACTTTTTGAAATGTACCAGTTGTTGAACTTTTTCCACATTGAAAAACAGATTCCAACTTAAGATTTTATTTCTGCGGAATTCGTTGCTCGTTATGTTGATCGAATTGGTCGTTTTATCTTTGCGTTTTTTCAAACCGCACTTCAATGGCACCAATTTTACACTGGCTAGGATGGTGTACAATGCGTCGGTATCGATGCGAATGTGACGACGTTGGAAACTGCACATTGGTACAACGACAAAATTTTTAATTTGTGGTGCATCACGACGACATTTGTACTCATTGTGATACCATTGGATTTCACGTTGAATATGTATCCACATACGAATCGAATGGAACCAATTTTCGCTGACATATTCTTTAATGTTGCAATCTTCTGGTGCACCTAACCAACGTAGCTCATCCAACAACTCGCCCAATCGAAGCTGTCGCTCAACATCGTCACTCGTGTTGTCTTTCCGATGATATGCGTAGTTAACGGCATTTTTGATGTCAGTTTCATCGTAATATGGCAATTCATTGGGCGAGCCGTACAAGTTGTTAAAGTAGTTATACCGAATTGCATTGTCATTGAGCTGGAATGTCTTTAGCTTGAAAAATTTTCTTAAACGGGATTCGCAATGCGTTTTCAAGTTTGTTCGAACGTTGTCTTCGTATTGTTCATACAAGTACTTGAAACTATTACCAAATCCACCATTGGTGGGCCAATCGATTCTAGCAGCGTCTACCAACTGTCGAAAATCCGGTAGCATAAGAAAGACTTTGCCGATGTTGTCACGTAGTACTGCCTTAAAACAACGTTTAATCATGCTGGATCCATCATCCCATACAAAAAATTCATCATCAAAGTGATCAACAGCTTCATTCACCTATTCACAAACAAACGAACAAACAATCGAATCAATTCATGCAAATACAATAGTGCAAAATATCGCCCGTAAATTGCGTATAGAAAATGATGAAATAATATCGAAAAATTGAATTTGATTGTCATTAGCGAAGAATTGAAATGAAAAATCATTCGGATGATATGATGAATTTATGATGAAATATTAAAAAAAAAGTTGATGTTTTTTTTATTCAAAGCAAAAAACTGAAACAAATGAAATTTTTGAACTTACTTTCATGAGAAAGAGTAATGATGCCAGGCACGCAATTTTCGTTGCTTTGATAGACAGAATAGAAATGATCGCGATAATAACATCGCGATATCGTTCTCGGATAATTGATGGCAGTCCTTGCTTTATACACCTTTGGTCGGCGTTTGGATCTGCTGCCTTGTGGCGACCCATTTTGCAGTCTATTTCAAAATTTAAAAAAAAAAACGGAAAAAAGAAAGAAAAAATGCGTTAAATAATTATATAAACAATTGAAGGCTACACACAACGTCAAATCGCAATTTCAAAGCACAAAACACACACAATAGAGAGTACAACAATAACAATGATTGAATGGCCAAACAGTTTAAATCAACTTGCCTTGTGAGGATTTTTCGCTAAACTGAATTCGATTCGCAATATTCTGACAGTCAAAAATCCAATGGCATCAAATTCGAAGTTAATACACAGTCAAATTCACACAACAAAGCCATATAAAATGAAGAATACACTTCCACACAAATAAAATGAACTTCCTATCAATTCGATACAAAATACACTGTAATGCCGCTTTGATTTCTTACTGTGTGACTTTGGAAATGTTCTGTTATTTTAAAAACAAAACAAGAGCAAGCACAAAATTCACCGTGAATAAATCTATTCTTTGCAAATTCACAATATCTACGTTGAAATTAGAAGAAAGAATTCTGTTTGTTTGAACGAAAAATCCACGATGCATTCTCAAAACAAAGCACATTTTAAAATGTAAACAAAATTATGATGTTTGCATCTTTTTTCAAAGTGACGATGGTTGAACGGCAACTGTCAAATTCAATTCGAATGTCTTTCAGATTTCGAAATTCGAAATTCATATACGTTCATGAATACGAAAGTATTTAAAAAAATAAATGCCAAGTGCCGTTTGAAAAAAAATTCTTCTGCAGAAAATTAAATCAAATCACTCAAATCTAATTTGTTTGCAGAGAATGGATTTTCTTGTGGTAAATAAATCATTAAATTTGAAATACAAAAACTTAACGTACAATACACATATTGGGTGGCGATCATATTATACGGTCAGAGTATGTTTTTGTATGGTAGTAAACAAGTGGAACGAATCATTCCATTGGAAGTTGTAAATATACTGGAAACTACACACAAAATCTACGTTCCATTTGACACGGAAATGACCACTAAACCGGGCCAAAGCGTTACATTTTTTAACGTTAAAATGTCCTAAAAACGTTACATATTTGTCCGTTGGGTTAGATGCTTTTTTGTTTTCAAAATAATACTGTAATTTTTTATTTTTCCATGAAAATGATGTCAACCTTGTCACCAAACCAACAAAAATGTTTTTGTTTTCAATTTGTTTTCAATACAATCATTCGAATGCGCCATGTAATTGCATCCGATAACTTGAAAAACTCTAGCTGTACGCAAATGTGTATAATCGCAATCAGCTTGACAATAACGAAGTTTCCTTGTCGGCATCAAAAGTGGCGAATGTGTTCAACGTTCAATTATATTGTTTGGCAAATATGTGGTGTTATCAACAGAGGCATATTTCAGTATCGTTTTAGTTATCTGCTTTTCGGGTGAATTTATTTTTTTGGTTGTAATTCGGTCTTTGCACTTTCAATTTCCATCCCATTTGGGAATTGATGAAAAACAAAACCGAAAAAAGTGGAATGGCTGATAATAAATGTGCTGGTACCCGGTAAGAGTAAAAAAGTCGTGTGAAGTAGATAATGCCTCGCCTTTTCCACACGAGAATACCAAATTATTGTTGTTGAAAATATGTGCGTCATCATGATTCCCAACGGTGCAGCTGACAAGAAAGAAGAAAAAAAAGTGCCACCAAGCAAGTGAAAGTAAAACACACACGAAATTTCAAAACAAAAACAAAAAATCGTTTATTTTGCACAAAAGTGCACGTTTGTCTAAAATATTTGTGTCATAAATTTTTTTGAATATTCATATACAACAAAAAGTACGGCAGTTGCTGGTATGGTACGTATAATAGTTGGCTTTAGTCCGCAATATAAGGCACCAATGCCCTCGGTTCGTGCAATCTTCATGCCCATTATAAACATATTCGTTTTGATATTACCAATTTGTACTCGACTCTTTATCACATCAGCTGGAAAAATTGCTGTCCAAAGGCATATTCCGCCAACCGACCCAGCGGCCATTGTACGCAATAATCCAATTTCATCCTTCTTCTGGTCCGGTCTATTTTGTAAATGAAATTTGTGTTAGTACCGCGTCATTACCATATTCTCAGGGAAGGGAATAATAATAAAATTGAATTGAGCTTACTTCCGTAATAATTCCCTCGTACCCTCATAACCGCCGAAGAAACAAAAATAGCCTGGCATCTCACGTGCCATAGTTGGACCCAAGCCTCTATAAAATCCCAAAATGCCTTCCTGCTTGAAAATTTGACGCGTCAATTGGAATGGTGTAATGTGTTTTACTTCTGTTTGTTTCGCATTATTCTGAAAATGTCAAATCATTTGTAAAATTGCTAAAACTGTTAAAATCTCCGAATAATTAGTTAATCTTTGTATGCATAATTACCGATACTTCTCGCAGCGATTGTAATTTGCATTTTACAAGTTCAGTGGGACACAACGTGAACGATGAAAAAAACGATGCAATCACACCGGCACAGGCATTACTGATGTTCATGTAATAAAATATATAAATCACGTGTTAATACATCACATTTTCCGTGCATTTCGGAATTCAATACAACCAACAAATTAGTCTAATTACATGTCGTGTCTGTTCTTTTAATTGAATTTACCTGAGCGATGAAAGTTCATCAACGCTTTTGTGACCTTCAATATTTGCAATGAATTTTTGACACACGCCATAGCCTTTACAAAAACAACAGATCTGAGATTAGTTTTCTTTAAATCACGTGACTAATAGCATGCTTTTGCATTTTACCAGCAAATAGGATGGAATTTTCAGCTACATTTGCAACAATTGAAGGTAATGTGCCGGCATATAAACCACGATAGATTCCGTCCGTTTTAAATGTTTCCAGTAAACAATCGCCCATGTTTTTGTACAGCGTTGGAAATGACTGCATTTTTACTTTAACCGTGTCTAGTGGCTGAGACACATACACGAGCGCGATTCCCCCTATAGAAAAATTAGACGAAAGGAATTGAACAACAAGCATGAATAAATAAATAAGGCAGATGGGAAATTTCTTCAAGAACGATGTAAATTCCCAGCTTCCCGATTGTAATTTAACATTTCAAGAATCAACAACACACAGATATTGAATATTTCATCACAATTCCGGGAAAAATGTAAATTAGTCCAATTAGACTTAAACCAAAAAAAGACGTACTGGAGAAGATGCATTTTAAGTTATTAAATAAGGGTGTTGAGATCGCATAGCAAAAGTATTAATATTATTACTCATGAAATCGGCACAGTGACATGTGTACTGCTTACAGATGTGGCGATATTCGACTTGAAGAAGAAAACCAATATTTCTGTGAAGTATAAATGTATGTGTGGATCAAGCACGTTCAGTCAATCAAATTCATATAAAAAATTTGAAACAATAGCAAATAATTGTTGAAAAAATATCAGAATATAAGACGTAGTTTTTTAAACGTTTATTTAAATTCTTTTCAATTGAGTCAATATTTTCTTAACTTTTGGTAATAGTTTTTTCTCTTTTTAATTTATTCAAACTGAAATCGAAAGAAAAGAAAAGTTTTATTTTCCCGATTTTTCGAGCGAGTGGGTCGGTAATTTGGTCCGAGACCCTTAGGCATAATAGAATGTCATACATAATGTATATTCTCACTGGAATTTCATGATAAATCGCTTAAACTTACCCAACGACCCAGCCGTGAAATCAATCAGGCCTGCTTTAAAATGTGCTCCATTTTCCTTAACTTGTGTTGCAGGGCCCGCTTCACCAGTTGTTTCCAACATTTTTATCTATACTGTTCAAAACTACTGACGCAAACTTATTTACACTGTACAAAAATTTCCGTATATACGAAGAAAGATGTGTCGCGTAAAAATCTAAATATTATAAATAAAAGTGTGCAACAAATGACTTGAATTACGGAACTATGTGTAAATATTTTTCTGGGTAGCTTTTATTTGCAATACCATAGATAAGACGGACTCATTGAGAATTGATAAAAACAAAAAAGTTGCCTTCCGACAGCATACAACAAACGGTTCGCTTAACACATGTCTCTGCTTGACATTACGACTGATGTAAATAAATATCATGTGTCGCAACCAAAGATTCATAGATACGTCAATGTCAATAAGCAATGCGCCATCTAGATGGAAACAGTTATTGACAGACAGTACATTTATTCACAACAAATCGAATGTGCTGAATATAAACAAGTTAAACGGCAGCCTAGAAGTTCGTTTCGTTGGGAAAAAAATTTGGAAAATAAAACCACAATAAAAATTAAGAGCTGATAAAACTGACTGATTTTTTTTTTTATTAATGAAATTCAATTCTAATGAAATAAGTTAATAACTGTCAATAATAATTTAAATTTGAATAAGAATAAATTGGAATTAATATATTTAATAAATGATTTTTTTTCATCTTCTTTCATTTCTTCTTTCTTTTTTCATTTAAAATTTGCAATAATTCAATAATTTCAAAGAGATAACATGTAAACAAGAGATTTATTAAAGAGATTGTCATTTGCTTTTTTTTCATTAATTTTTTTTCTTTGTTTTGTTATTACTTTCATCTATATAAGTTTGATAAGATTTGACGAGTGATTGTATATTATACGTGTGAAACGTGTCTTGAGTGCTTGCAGAATAGTAATTTTTCTATTATATAATAATAAATCTTCAAGTTGTATGATTTCTAAGTGTGTGTTATTACATATTATTGATTTTGTTTTTTTTTTATTGTTGTGTGTAGTTTTTTTTTTGTTCTCCATAGGATTAATTATAATTTTTTAGCTACTTTTTTTTCATTCGTTAATTGCCGATTCGATAAATCCGTTCATTCAAATTCACTTGAGATTAAAGTGTTCTCTCATATATATATTTTGAATTTTTAAAATTTTAGTTGTCATAATAATTTGTTGGTCACTACTTATAATTTACTTGATAATTTCTCACAATTTTTTTTTGTTGTTGTCTTCTTTTCTTTCATTTTAAATTAGAAAACAGGTATACTAAACGAAAAACAAAATTAATAAAATAAATAAGGAGTAGGCTGTATGTGTTGTTCCCATTTCAATAGTTTCACTACATTTTTTGGTCCACCCGGTGGAGCTGAGAATGTTGTCTCAGTTAGTTGTTTTTTTTTTTTTTTTTTCTCTACAATATGATATATTTCGGTTGCTGCATTTAGGTAAAATAGTTACTTTGTTTTAGCTAGAAGTTAATAGTTAGTATTCGATATAGGTATACGTAATCAAGCATAAGTATGTTTTGGTTTTAGATTTTCATCATAATCATCGCGGTTCAACGATATATTTATATATATGTAGTATGTATGTATATTGATTGTGTATAGACATAATTAATGTATGCATTTTGTGAGTGTGAGAGTGTGTGTGTATGGTATAGGTAGCAAATGGTAAATAATGGATTTTCATTGTACAAGCTATAGTTACTTTAATAAATAAATACGTCCTTGGTTCCTCTCAAAAACTTGATACATTTCCAAATCGTTTAATTATTCCAGTTTATTGATGTGTTTCGTGTTAAAAGTTTTTGATTCCATTTTGCATAGTAGTGCTCACGACTACCGTGGTTTGCCATTCTGGTTTTCCGTTAATTTTTATGTTTGGTCATCACTGAATTTTAATGCTATTTCTCGTTTCCCTGTGTCGTAAATTCTGTTTCTATCAAATTTTGAGTGTAGATGTGTATGTGTGTGTGAATGAGCGAGCAAAGGAGTTTTAAATGTCTTCAACAAACTCTGGTCGCAACATTTTTTCTTGACCTGCAATGCACAAAATCGGACATTTGAGTGACGGACACAATACAATGTGAACAAACAAAAATTTAAATTGTGGCAAAATGTGAATGAAAAATGAATGATTATGAGCAATGTTCGGTGTGTAAACAAACACATACTTTCCAGATAGGTTGCCAAATCGTTGTCCTCCACTTGAAAAGCGATCATCATTGGTGTTAGTCCATTCGAATCCCGCATCGTAAGGCTAGCACCGGCTGCCACAAGCATATAACAAATGTTTCGATGTTTTTGCTGTACGGCCTTATGTAACGCCGTATGGCCCCTGCAAAATACAAAATATTTACATAAATACACACACACACACATGCACATATATGCTATTTGCATTTCACTTTGATTAGCATAATTTAACTCCCACAAGCCGCATAAAAACGAATGATAAAAGCCCATGTGGCACATAATAAACCCATTTCTACACTCACGTTGTATTATCCACCATATTGATGATTGAATTCGGAGCATAAGATATCAAATACTTGACGATATCTTTGTAACCATATTTACACGCAAAATGAAGGGCCGTTTGACCAGTTGCATCGATTGATAGTAATGAATAACCCTGCATATGCAAATCACGCAACTGCAAAAAACAACAACAACAAACAACACAAATCACAACAAAATAGAAGAAATTATCTACATATAAAATGTTTGGGCCGAGATTGACTATTTGGAAAAGGTTTATGGTTGAATGATTTGCATTCGATATTTGGCGAATAATGGCATCGAAAGAAAAAAAAAAAGAAAAAATACAAACCATTATAAAGTTGCCTGTCTTAGCAGCTTTTATCACAGCATCGGTGGTTTTTTCCAATAAATTACTACAAATAAAAATGAAAACGGTTAACATGTTCGCCATCGAAACTGTGACGCATAAATTGGTTATAGTTCGTAACACGTTTAGCAAAACAAAACAGAAAGAAAGAATGGAACATTTGTGGAATAAAAATGAGATCGGTATTTTGTCTTTTGTTACGGGGGGAGTTCTATATTTGTGCAGCAGTCTAAGAGAGATAAAGTCGTACCTGAATCCATAAGCATCTTGTGTAAGGCCAAAAAGCCTTTCATGAAAGCTGCATGCATACAATATGTAAAAATTTTCCGTGTGAATAAAATTGATAACGGGACACAGTTGTGAGTGTGTGTGTGTGTACGTGTTTATGTGAGTGAGAAAGAGAGAGAGACAGAGAAAACGTGTTCAATCGATACTTGAAGGAAGTACATCCATAAAATAAAAAACGAAAGGGGAACAAAATAATAAACTTCAAATGAAACGTGCAATCGTTTTATTATTATTCTTTTTTTTTTTTGTTTTCTAAAAAGCTCAACATGCGCGAAATATAAATTTAAACTCAACATTGGACAATGTTCAAATTCATTATTAGGAAACTAAAAGGTACAAAAAAATAAACTACTTAAAATCAAATTTAAAATAGTATTAATAATAATTAACAGCATTTCGGACTACGTTTTTATTGAGAAAAAGAGAGAGAGAAAAACAAAGAAGGTTGTGGGGTCGGGCAAAACAATGTCAACAAAATCAGAACTGAAGTGAATAATCAAACTGAAGAGTGCAATTAGAGTGAGGAAAGGCAAAAGGAAAATTTACCTTTTGAAATTGACCATGCGATCGAATGAGACATTTGGATCGGCAAAGTCATCCTTGTCATCCGATTGCTTTGGACTGTTTTGCGAATTTGGCGAATCTTGCGAGTCTTGGAAAACGAAAGCATTTGAATGCATTAAGCTAAGCGCATGGCTGAGGCTAAATGGATGGGATGTCTTACATTTTCGTGAATCCATTCCAGAATCCGAATTCGAACCGGGTCCGGCCGACAAGAAGAATGTCTGATTGGCGAATGGTGATGTTGGTGTATTTTCATGTGATTCACGTTCCAAATTATCACTGGATCCCGAGCTAAAATTGTTGCTTCGTTTGCTGGGCAATCCAGATGGTATGGCACGTTCATCGTCCGGTGTTTGTGGTAATGTCATAAGCTCTTGATCTAATATGTACATTGTTTCGGTGGCAATATCAGTTAAATAGTGCAAATTCTCTTGCGCTTTATCAATACGGAAAAATCGTTCGGCAGTACAGGCTACGAGCACAAAACAATTTTGATTTATTAGATAATAAATTCCATTTCAAATGGTCAAACTCAATTCCAATGGTTTGGACTTACAATCAAGGAAACACCAATCTGATAATAATTTTGGTGTGTTTGCATTTTCTTCGCCGTAACTATCGATGGTCTTTCGAATTTGTTCGAGATCTGTCATAGCGTTCAGTTTAATGGTCGCAAAGAATGTGGCCGATTGTCTGAGCAAATCATTATCGTAGTGATGAGTTTCGTAATCAGTCATACTTATTTTATTTATTGTTATAGGAATTTGTTCATTGCTAGTTTGCCTGCAAAAAGAAAAAAAAAAAAACAAAACAAATATCATCATCGAATCGTCGCATCAATTACACCGAATAAGAATAAGAAAGTGTCAAACGATAAAATGATGGTGATAAATGGTATACTTACATTACATTAACTCTACCCGGTTTTCTTTTAGCCAACATCAAAGCTTGGTTCAGTAAACTTAATTCAATGATCGATGGCTTTAGCTTGGCTGCTTCACCATCTACCTGCATTGGGATTGTCTTTGACGTAACAATTTTCGCTGTTTTACACTGTGCGATGCATGTACCGTGTTTTCCAGCCTGCAGTAATGGCAATTGATATGTGGTCAAGCCAACCACTTCGATAAGACCATCGTCGGTGGCTTGTTTGCCACCAGAACTGGCCCATGGATGTGTGCCACCGCCATAGCTTGGAATGTTTAAAAATACGATTGCATGTACACGATGCTCTTTTAATTTTGGCGTTATATCCTTTCCATCACATTCAAGAGTCACCATTTCAGAGAGATCTTTCCATTTGCGTTTCAACAAATCCTTTCCACCGGCTTGGCCATAAAACATTTTATTACGTAAACGTGAATTGAATCGTTCCGGATGCGCTTCGCGTGCTTCATGAAATTCGAGTGCAATATGAGCATCAACGCCAAATGAAAAATAATTATTCACAACATTCAAAGGCAAATTGTCTTTTCCACCGCGTCCTTTTTCATCTTTTGCGTCCGGATTCGGTGACACTTTTAAGTTCCATCGATCCAACACCACTGTATCCGAATCGCCAATATTTTTGAGAATTGCCGAAATCGGTTCGTCGGTATAACCCTATGATAATCGACGGATGGCAACATAAAGTTTGAATTAATTAAAGGATGTGAAAAATGACAAAATATCATGCAAAAAGTAAGGTGAACGAACTAAAAAGACGCGTAAATGACTTACACCACCCCAACCCAGTGCACGTGCCAAATCGTTGCCAGTTCCTAACGGCAATACACCCACAGCCGGTTGTGTTTCAAAATGCAATTGATCTAAAACCGATAAAATCCATCCGGCTGTACCGTCGCCACCGCATGCCAAAATTCGTAGTTGCGGCGCTTTTCGAAACAATTCCAATCTATATTTAAAAAAACACAACAAAAACACAAATATTTTGATGTTATTTCGCTTTTTGTGACCATTAATCCAGTGGCAACAACAGTGGTATGAATGAACAACACCGTGTGTATGCTACAAAAATAAGAGCGTAATCTTACGTACCCCATCTTTGGTCCACCTTGTGTCAAATCAAATACTTGACGAGGGTTCAGTAGCCATTGAAACTTTTGCAAAAGTTTGACACCCTGAAAATACAATGTGAACGTAAATCCTTTACGAATACAATTTTGGTTTCTATTCTTGTCTGTTTGCAAAAGCTCTCAAATACAAGACAAGCACCTTCTAAATATAGGCATGCTGGTCAATGTTCAAATAGAATAATGAATTGTTTACACACAAAACTGACCTGATTTCCACCACTTTTTGGATTGATAAACACCAGTACAGGCGTGATTTTGGTCGTTGGAACGGGCTTAATTACAAATGCTTTAGATTCCTTTTCTTTTGATTTCTTTTTCGAAACTTCCTTTTTCCGTGACTGTTTTCGCAACGATGATTTGAAGCTACCCTTACGCGGCAATTTTATTATCCATGATGGTGGCACAATGATATTCGAGTGTTCACCTGCATTTCATTTACACAAATTAATAACAAACAAATGATAACGAATTTTAAGTGGATGAATTTATAAATATTCGGAAAATCATCAATTCAAATCAAGTATGACAGGTTGAATGCAACGAATGTGATATGCTTAGCTTTTTGTGAAAGGATTTTCATTGGAAACATTTATTATTTATGGACTGAAGTGCACAACACACGTCATATCAACAGATATATAGAGAGATATTAATATTTAAACGAGCACATCATGTTAAATATACATTGTACATAAATATTCTGACTGAGATAGAATATAGAACAGAACTCACCAAGACAGCACTCTTCGCCAATTCGCTCTGGATTGAAACATGATTCCTTATTATGATATGATGATTTGCACCAGGCACATGATATTGCAACTATTTCCTTCGAACTGAACGATAGTTTCGCTTGAATCGACTAATTGATGAATGAATAAAATAATATGTGTTATTAATTATAAAGCTCCATCGAATTCGTCATAGTATTTACTGGCTCCCACTCATAACCAACATCGTCATCGTACATCCCCCTCCACCCCTCCGACTATTTATATCGGAATTGGATATGGATGGAAAAAAATTATCTATACCAACCTTGCCGCACTGTTTACATTTCCCTTTTTCCGTTCGACGATGGATCCAATGATGGTGATTAGTTCGCTTCTCACCATATTGCCGTATGCTTACGTCTCGGAATGATGGTTTGCATGAAAATTGTGTTCGATTCATAATAATCGAAATGCAACTGGTATGAGCCACCATCCTGCATGCCGAACACTTCATACGGGGCCCGTGTCTCTGTGTATTCAAACGAAATTCAAACAACCATGATGAAAAAAGAACACACACTCACACAAAAGAAAAAAAAAACCATTACAAATGACAAAAATTATGATTAATGAATACGCGTTCTAGTTGAGAAAACATTTAATAAAGGCCAAATCCGTACTCTGTGTACGATAATGAAACAGAAAAAAAGTGACTGAATGAACTGAAATGAATGGATCCGTACCTGACATTCACTTTCGCCGACATAGCAAAAATCGCCCGAAATCGATGTTGGCTGCCATAAATGATCGCCGGCCTGCGCACTGTCACTCCAATCAGGTACTTGACTGATTTTTCTCGCCTCGTTTCTATAATGGAATTCAATAGCCATTAAAAAAATGAAACAAAATCACTCTGCGGAACCGTCAATCTTTCACACGTTATGTACATAATCGTTATACGAAAATATACAAACTAAACAAACTACAGAACAGAGAAATAAAGAGACATTGAATATAGTCGAGAGAAGAAATAAGAATAGAAAAAAAAAATTGTACAGAAATTTACCTTCGATAACAGAAGACAGATAAAATAGATAAAATAGATAAAATTTGTGGAAGAAAAAAATGGGATCTTTCTTGTTGGAAATAGACAGAGTAGACAGACACAATTGTGATTCATTTGATAACAGCTCACAATCAAACAAAGTCAAGTTCTCTCTCATGAAAATAAAAGAATTGAAGAAAACGAGAGAGAAGAAAAAAAACAAATGAAAACCAACCCAATATTATCTACGTTTTACGACACCGTTGTTGACGTCGTTGTCGTTGTGCAAATTATAAATGCAAAATCAGAAAAATGTGCTACAGTTTTTCTCCCATGTTTAAACGACAGAGTGACAAATGTGCATGAGTGAAAATGATAACGAATTTGTTTTTTTTTTAGAAAATGAAAAGTAAAAAAGAGTATTTTTGTGTTCTGTTTTCTCTTAACCATATTACATGCAATCAGACAGAAAATTCTGTTCGATTTGTTTTTTTTTTTGTTTGGATTATTTGTGTGTACATACCGTTTAGACATCGATGGTCCAGCCAATGAAAGCGCTTTGTATCGTGCTTGTTCATTGGTGGGCAATACAATATCTACCGATCGTGATCGAACCGCATTTGTTGGCACCGATAAAAATCCATCATTTTTTGATTGTAATTCTTCTGTTTTGCCATTTGATGTTAATTTCGAAAAGCTTGAATCAACGGAAGCGGCACGATCGCGCCGTAAATCGGTTTCGGGCACAGTTAAAAAATAATCCTGAACATAATCGTTTGAATCACCACTAGTGTTCAGTAGTTTTTTTTCGTTGTTTGTTGATTTTTTGGGTGTGGTTTCGGTTGGCGATTTAACCGAATCAAGATTCTCCAATGAGCTACCGGTTGGTTCAATGAAAATCGCCTCTTGACGTGATATCGAACGGCGTCGTCCACGATTTGCGTGCAATTGTAGTTCAATATCAATAGCGGGTACAGGCTGAATATCACATTGTGTTTCAATTGGTGGCTGTGGCGGTGGTGATGCTGCGGTTGTATCATCATTAGCTGATTGTAAAGGAAATGCATCAGTTGCATGCGATAGTGAAAACTTAATGTTGCAATGAGGAGGTATTAGTGTAGGAATGGTTAGATGATTATTTTCGTCGGTTGTTTCGATGTGTATTGATTCGTCAGTGTCGTCGTCGTCATCGCTAATCGATGTATCGCTTGAGTTGTTGTCTTCATTGTCTTTTGGTTTATCAAAAGCCGATCCACCGCTTTCTAAACACCGTTCATACTCTTCAATATACATACAATGCACACAGTGCACCGGTGATTTTGAGTTTGATGATCGACGTCGTTGAAATCGTTTTGGTACTTCGAGATAACTGGCTATATTCGAATCAATCGAACCCGATTCAACGCTACGCGAACGTTGGGCACCGAATTGAAATTGCGGAACTTGTAATAATGCCGCCGAACTTTCATCGGTCGATGTTTGATCGATGAGATTCTTTGTCGTTCGATTCGCTTCCAATTGGAATTCATCGAACGATGTGGACCGAACCTATTTACATATTGTATCAAAACCCGATGCAGACGGGATGGTATGTGTTACAAATTTTCGAGTTTTTTTTTCGATGAGATTGAGATAGAGAGACATTCAATCGACGACGATATCATCGTTGTCGTCATCACATCGTTAACAGCGCATAGACATTTGCAGTAAAAGTATACAAAAGAGAAAAAAATGATGGGAAAAAGAGACAAAAAAGACATACACGTATATAATACGAAATTGTTGTAATAAAATTATTTTGTTGAGTTATTGATTTCGTGCTTCGATGTACATAGATATATATAACATTTATATATAATTTAAAGCAAAAACCACAACAGAACAAGTAAAATAAAAGACAGAGAGAATAAGAATGCGTTGATTGTAAGACAACAGCTCATATTATACGGGTTTGTTGTAAACTGATAAGAAAAATAAAACCACATCGAATGAAATAAGCAACAAAAAACATGACGACATTGTGCTGAAATGCACAGAAAATTGATGATAAACGAACCCCCCCCCCCCCATTCAAAAGAAAATAAGTTCAAAAATGTTTTTAATAATAACCAGATTAGATAAAAAGCTCTTTCGCTCGACAATAAAAAAAATAAACTATAAAAAAGAGGTAAAATATCGATCAGAAGGAAAAATTGTTCAGCGATGGCAAAATATAGAAAGAACAAAAAGTCGCATGCAAATTTTAATGGAGATTAGACGGAGTAAGAGAGAAAGAATGAACGAAAAAAAGCCACACTGAATGAAAATAATGAAAACCAAAACGACAATGAATCATGCAATACACGCATAAACCTCGTAAATGGATATGCACACCAAATGAAAAGAATATACATGTACATAAATGAAAGAACCCGCCATTCAAATACGTTATAAAAGATGCTTTTGCAAAATGAAACTAAAATAAAGAAAAAAAAAAGACGGAGCAAACCGCAACAAAGCGAAAATATAAACCATTTTTGTTAGAGAAACAAAAACACATGCAGTACACACCAAACACAGAACGTAAATGAAACAAAAAAGAAATTGAATTGAAACAAGTAACATCAATTAATGTGGAACACACATACACACAAAGAGAGTTAAAATGGATTGAAAATTGATGTCAGACCTGTCGCGGCACTTCCAGACTGCTTTGCATTTTCATTTCGGCACCTGTTGGTGTTCTAGACCTTGTAAAAGTCGTCCGAATTCGATTCATATCACAAAGTGTGCTGTGAAATGTCACGCACACACCACATTCACATTTAAAAAAAATGAACTAAATAAACCGAATCAACCAAACGCACAATGACACTGAGGATGACGAATTTTCTCACTTAGCTTCTTTCGTGCTTCTTTGTGCTCTCCGTTCTCTCTCCCCGTTCTTTTTTTTTTCTTCAACTTTATTTCTTCTCTCTACTACTCTACACACTCAATCACTTTCACTCCGTTGATTTGGCGGCCACAAATCGTCTTGTGATTTGTTTTGATGATCGTCGTTATCCACGCGATGTCGAACAACGTGCGGGTAGAATGTGCCAATTAGACGAAGTGATGCGTTTACTTTTACTATCTATTTTCCTTTTCAGTTGGCTACATTTTTACCATGGGATGCATTCACAACGGGACCGATAAAACGTTTGCCACTGTCCATTGTCATATTAGCACGCGCTTTTGAGCAATGAATTGAATTTGTAATGTTCGTTTCCTTGTTTTGTAATTTGGTTTCCTTGTAGTTGCCTGGGTTTTTTTTTGTTTTGTGTTAGATGTGCACATCGTATATATACAATTTGTCGTCGGAGTTCACAGAGTCGATGAAAACAAATTGACGCAAAAAGAAGACGTTTATTTTTTTTAAAAAGAGAAGAGGAAGAAAAAACGAGAAAGAGAGATATACAAACTGTATGAATAAAGAAGATGCAATTTTGTAAATGTTATTTCTGTTGTCACACACACACATTTATCTATTTGAGATGTCTCCATTTCAATGATTATTATTTTATTATTTGCACAATTTATAGATGTTTAATGTGCATAATATGAAATAAATATGTTCCGTTTTCAGTTTTCGCCAGTTTCGTTGTGTATTTGTCATTTGTTTTTGTTTGTTGCGAATTACCATATCATCATTGTCGTCGACGTTGTTGTCATTGTTGTTGTCATCAATTGTGAATAAAAACAAGTATGTGCTCTGGTTAAGGGGCGGCAATTCAATATTCATATATTCAGAAAAATAGCAACAAAAACAGTTTACGAAACATAACAAAACATTTGCTCTTCTTTTTCATCCTCGCAGTCGTCGTCTTCGTTGTCGCTGCTTTTTTATTGTTAGCAGATAAACTGCGTTGTTATTTCTCAATCACATTCTTATTATGTACATATATTTTACCACTCAACTCAAACACGAGCGTAACATAAAAACCGAAAAAACAACAATAGTAGTAGTAATAGCATCAGCCGACACTGCCGACTCATACGAACGAATAGAGACAAGAGAAAAAAAGAAACACACGAAGAACCTTGCTCATCCTATCTTCATCATAATCATCTGAGTTGCCTGTATATATATGTTGATTGTACAAGATACAATACATCGCGGAATCGTGAGCATACTTCAGGGGCGAAACAGAGAATACGTTACGTGCAAACAAATGAGATGGATCGCAATAAAAATGATACACAAAACCAAGAAAAATACGCAAACCGAATATAAAAACAACAACAACAACACATATGCATAAAGGGCAATATGGCGAGAAGAGTGGGGAAACGCGGTGCACGCGATGACAAAACCATAAAAATAATGCCCAAATGAAGTGAGATGAGAAATGGAATGTACCAAAAGGAGATACAATTAGGAAGTACAACACCATTTATGCAAGATGAAACAAGAAAAAGAATAGCAACATCGAATTAATAATAGACAAATGAGCTGCAGAAGACAACACACACAAAAAAAGACAACGAAAATATGAACACAAATGACTATCAATTCTTCATTCTGGTAGCGAAAGAAGTTATGTGAATACAAATCACGGCTTTATGTCGGAAGAAATAAGCACACAACACACAATTCCATGGTGATGATGATTATTATGAGAGCGCGAACGTGGCGAGGCGAGACATGGCAAATGCTAAATCATATGCAAACAATATATATGGAATTTGTATTTCGAATAAAACCCTTAAAACACATTTTGCATGAAGAAGTGGCTGCATTGTTTGGCTCACATCTCACGAGCAGTCTTGTTTTTTCTCTCTCGTCTTATTCAGCTGCTTGGTTTATTTTTCTTTCTCTTGCTCTTTCTCGCTTTTTTGTTAGTCTTTCGAATGAGAAATTCTTTGTTTTTTTCTTGATTTGTTGCATTCTAAATTGTGTGTACACGTGTATTTCACAGATGAAGCAACAGCAGGATGAGAAAAAAAAACACACACACACATACATACATACACACGCGCGCGACAACAATCTTGGCGAGAAGTAAAATCTCGCGTTCGCAATCCCATGCTGACATATAATGTGCACAGACGACTTCTTGCCATTCGCACGTCATACTGATTTTCATATGATGTGAAATTCGACGACGGCAGTGGCAATGGGCCATACGCAAAGAGCATACATCATACAACATTCATGTACACACATACGATAATTCATAGCACCAAGAACGATGATGCTTAAACAACCGATATTATTAAGAGAGCGCAATAGAAAAAGAAAACAAACTGCAAACGAAACAAGCGAAACAAACAAAGCAAAAGATGAAAGAGAAAAAACTCACACACACACACTCACTTTTGAAGCGGTGCTCGATTTTTTACCCACCAAGAGTGCTGAACGTCTCTTGTTTTTGTTCTTATTCTTTTCGTGTTTTTTTTTCTCTTCGCGGAACATCACATTCAAGCATCATGCATATATTCACAACGTTTGGCCTACCGAAATAAATTATTTAATTTGAAACACAGAAATATTTATTCATATTTTATATTTAACGAAATTGGAAGGCAAACCGAACTGAACTGGCGATCGGAATGCGAAACAAAGCGAGAGCCAGATTGAGCACTTCAACAATTTTTTTTTCGGTCATTACTTACAATTACAAAACAGATTCGGTTTTTTTTATTGAGCCGATTTCAATGGTTGATTTCACTTGTAATTCGAAACAAACAAAAACACACTTATTTCATTTTTTTATTCGCCACAAGTAGTTTATTTGACGGTGGTTAATAAAATATATGAGTAGTAGCAACTTTGGCTGCTGCTGCTGCTATAGAAATAGAATTCATAATTGTTATGAGCGACATTGACAGAGACAGAGAGTGTCAAACGTTGAGAGTGAGACAGAGAGTGATAGAGATAAAAAATATATAATTTGTTATTGTGTAGAAATATTATACTTTTGGCTTTATTTACATTTCTTTAATGCTCCATTTGCATCAACAACATCCTCGTCGTCAATACAGCTCTTGAAATATTTCAGAAAGCATAATTTACTCAAAACTTTCATATTCTGTTTGATATGATTTTGGATGAAATGTGCCTTTTTTTATTTTTATTATTTTTTTTTCGGTTGTTGTTTTGTTCCTTTTGGAATATCTTCTCTTACATTCGATGATAATACATTTTCTTTAGAATATTGGTTTCTTATATCGACTTAATTTATCGAAATACATAGTTTTTCACTTTTGAACAAAAAATAAAATCATAAGTCATGAAGAAACAATCGCACTTTTTAGCAACGGATTTTTGCCACACCGACACGAGAAAAAAAACCACCGAACCGTTTCAAATAAAATCAATCGAAAACATAATGAAACCAAAAATAGAACGAAAAATAAACAGATTTCATACGTGATAAGTGATTAAATGGGCATTGTTATTTGTTCATTAAAAATGTTGGTATTTTTCAAAAACAGCACACACCGAATACGAAACAAATCAGAAAATTTTGTTTCTTTTTTTAAATTAATTGAACGACCGAATGAACGAAATAAAAATGAAATGCACAAAACAATTTAACTGAATCGAACTGAATAAATAAATCACAATCGATTGTTGAAACTGTTTGCGTTGCTGGTAATTTGAGGTAATGCAAATCTAATTAGAATCGAGTATTTCTTGTAGTGTTTTTCATTTCCTTTTTGTTCTGTGTTGAGTGTGTGTATATATAACAATTCGTTTTGAGAGGGCTCTTAGAATCTTCTCTCGCCTTTTTTTGCGTAAGTCTGAATATATTGCGTGTGTATACCGATTGCAGTGACTTATCGCGTTAAATATCAACTAAAAACTGAAAATCGCTGGCACAGACTTCGGTGTTTAACTCTACCGTGTCTCTGTTTCGTTCGAGAGTATGTTATTACAATTCGCTCACAAATACAGTCATTTTTTCCACATAAACCGCTCACACAAGCAGACACACACACACACATACATGCAAGCACGCTCCAACTGAGCAACACGAAAAACAGTGTAAACGAGATAGAGATGGGGAAAGAGAGAGAGATATGATGGTGGCAGGCACCAGGTACACATTGCATTCAATAAAAGAGGAGCGTAGCGAACGAAGCGAATGAACAAAACCAACACACGCATACCCCCATGTGTATAGACACACCAAATTGTGAATGCATGAAAATTGTACGACCATTGAATGTACAACGAATTCCATCCGAGATCGAGCACATTTCATCAGAGTGTTCTTGGTCGCTCTCTCATAGAATGGATGGATAATATGTTCTCTTGCTTGTCGATTATTTGCCGCCTCCGCTGTCACCGTCATCGTCTTCGTTGTTGTTGCTATTAGCCGTAGCCGCATACCATTGCCGTATTGGACATTCAATTCAATCCGATACATATCTTCGGTATCGTGGCGAAAGAGAGAGAGAGAGAGAGAGAGAGAGAGAGTTAAACAAAGATAGAATTAATGAAAAAGAAAGACGAAAGAGAGACAGAGAGTGGGATACAGCGTCCCGTACGATATAGAGAATAGAATCATCGAATAAATTGTGTGTATCGTTCGTTGGATGGATGGAGAGAGAGAACGTGCACGTCATTTCGCACACAATATGCTTTGAAAACGACAATTCACATTCTATACTTATGTGTATTAACATAGTGTACATTACCCTACTACAATTTATGTGCGCGTTTCGGGTACAAGCTCTCGCTTTCTCTACATCGGTCTTCTGGGTTTTGTTTTTTTTTTTTTGCCAATTTAAATATTTTTTCGTACTCATCAACCGTTTTGTAGGAGCGTTGTTTTCTCTCTCTCCCTCCTTCTGTTCGGTCCAATTCTTTTAAATCATATAGTCTACTGTCTGTTCTATTTGTGTAAGCAACGCTGTAAATCGGACTCTTCATTTTTTTTCTTCTTCTTCTGTCGATCGTACATACACCGCATAGATGTGGAAATTTAAATATGAAATACTAAACCTGCAAAAAGCGACGAGAACCGACCAGCAAGAACATCGAACACACATTGTGCACTGTCAGTTCACTGAAGAAGATTTGAGAGCAGTGCAGATGGTGTGTGTACGTGTGTATATATATTTTTTTCGTCGTCGCTATCTCTCTTGTCTTTTTATCGTAGTAAAAACCATAGTTTACTTTGGAATTTTACGATTTAGTAAAGCAAATGTGCGACCGACCGACCAATGTTCGTTGTATGTGACCACTCTACCGTTTCCGATACAAACAATAAATTTATATGCGAAACTTTATGGACTCTTGTCACTTAGCGTTTGCATGCCTACACACGATTGCTTCAGCAGCAACAACAGCAGCCGCTACCGCTCATTTCATACTGGTACTCATTCTTACTCTCGGCCTATGCAACAAAGCACACACACAATAGATGGCCTTCTCTTTTGTCGTCCGCTTTTTTTCCTCTCTTGTGATTTCTTTTTCGTTTCATCTCACACATTTATTTCGCATCTCCAATTTCAATGTCTTGCTTAGTCAGATGAATGTTTATCATCTGGATGTTGTCACTGTGGAAGTGTTTTTATTATTATTTTTTTTTTCTTCGTCTCTGAGCTTTATTTTTCCCTCTTCCATTTTCCGCTGTATTCTCCATCCGTTTCGGTATTTCACATCGACGTATAACGTGAGCGAGCCGAGCATTTTATCCTTTTGTTAGATCGCTTTGCCGTACCTTTTGTATGCATATATCGATGACATACTAATTTTCAAAACAAGTATATCAAATCGCATATGGTCTCATCTATATTATGCATGTATTATATTGCAATTATTATTACTATGATTGCTATGCACGGTATTCGATTTTAATTTTCATGCAGATATTTCTGGTCGGTCTTTGTTCTTTTCGATTGTTTTGTTTTTCTGCTCTCGCCTCGTGATTATTATTATTATTTCTCAAAAATCGTTATATAATCTCTTGTGGTCGTCGTCATTCATTACAAACGGAAAATAACGCAATTTATCATGAAATACTCGAACAACAACAACAACAACAAAAACTGTAACCCGTGAATGGGAAAAAAATCACCCCAGAATGAAATCGATTTACGAACAACGCTAAACACGACACACCAAATGACCTGTATACATATATATTTGTGTGTGTATTTGAAAGAGAGATGAAAGTCTCCGACACTCCATCAAAAACTCAGCCGTTCATTGCTAAAACGAAAAAAGTCCGGAGCAAAGAACCGAAAACACTGAAGAATCAATTTTGAAATTTATTGAACACATCCGAGAAGAACGCACAGATACAAACGAAGAGTGGGTGCAAATGAAAAAGAGGCAACCATTAATAAACGAATAGCACCACTTAATGATTCGAAATTCTTGCTAACGCATACAAAATACGTCTAATATGTAATTTTTTTTATATGTGGTTGAACGTGAGCAGTGAACAAACACACTCAACTGTAACTAGTAATTACAGTGCACTATATATAGCGAATAATCAGAATATTTTCTAGTTCGTTTAGTTCATTTCTTTCATTTATTTCCCGCATATTAAGTAATGGTTGACGACCACCACTTCCCACTTAAATGTATTTTGTGTGTATATTATGTGCATGATGATGATGATATGGGTGCCGAGAGCATTGATTTTCGCCGTCGAAGAAAACGCATTTCATTTCGACCGCTCATCAGAGTGGAAATGGGAGCTTCCAAAACAATGTTGAAACACGAAAAACAGGAAACGAAACATGGAAATATTTACATGGGAATAAAAGGGATCGAACCAAAGCATAGTCACTTGGAAATTAAACTTTTTCTTGATGTTTTTTATATTTCCTTTTCTATTCGGTTTTTTTTTTCGTTCAATACATTTGTGCATGCTTATGATTATTTAGGTATTTATACAAGAATTTTCCCATTGGATTAGTTTTGTTTTGTAAGAGCTTACAAGCACTTTGCTCGACAGAATCATTTCACATCGCATCCATCATGTGCCAGAGAGAGCGAGAGAGAGAGATACAAACTGAAAACATGAAAAATGGACATTTTCGACATTTCTGTTTTTTTTTTTTTGTCTTTTTTTACTCGATTTTATTTTTGTTACCAATTTTCCATTGCCACGTGCAAGAATGATGCAAGAAAATGAATGTTTTATTCGAAGCAACACAAAAAGTGGCATTCGTTAAGGGGAAAAGTTTTGCAACAAAAAACCCATCAAAAAATATATGAAAAGAATGTTGAAGCGCAAGCCTTTTCACAATATTATGTATATAAAATGTTTGCTGTTGTTGCACAAGAAAATAAGCTTCATTGAAATACACTCGAACTATGTACTTGCTACTTGGCTTTAATGTCGAATCGATCTGACACAGATTTTCGTTAGTTTTTTTCTTCTTCTAAATGATTTTACGGCCATAATCGATTTTATTTTTTCGTTCGTTTTGTTTGTAATTTGAATGGCTCGGCACGAATGCGTTGCGCGATCGATTTAATTGTATTATAAAATAATTTGTAATAATAGAATCGTAAAATTACGAATAAATTAGATTTTGCGTGCTTGCGACTTTGTTACGAATGTGCCAGCTATTTGATGCATGGCCAGACGAAATGATAAGTCATGTGAAAATGTAAAGAAAAGAAACCTCAACAATAATACAAAGTTCGCGTTTTGCGATGGGAAAATAGAATAGAAGAAAAAAAACAACAGCAATAGCAGCGACGAAGAAAAGAAAAAATTAATGTGCGGCGGCACACGGTGCGTGATCCAAAGCATTTGCACAAGCACTATATCACACACAAAAACCACCCAAACAAAGCATAAATTTTCATCAAACTACAATACGTACATACCATCATACCATATAGAAAATCTAGTTTTCGCGTGTTTTGCACGCTGAATTTACCTCAATCTCAACTGCATGCAAAATAAATAATGTACATACATTGTACGATGTACATGTGGTGGCAATTCGTTACGAAATGTTCTCATATTACTTACGGCAGATGCACGCCTTTCGCATTTGCACAAAAACTCAAGTACAGATAATATGTTTTTATTATCATCTCAAACTCTCACTGTGTGTATCTCTGGCATGAATTTGACTCGAAGCATAACGGAATGCCAGGATATTCCATTATACGATTTACGTGTAATGTTTGTGTGTGTATGTCTTTTTTTTGTTCCTGCTTCATTTTCTCCACCTTTTTTGACGGCAATTTTGTCTTTCGACAATCTTGAAGTCTTGAGTTTTGCAAGCGATCATATCACAATCCGTATAGGCGGCACAAAAATGAGCAAAGGAAGAAAAAATCAATCACAGTCAAAGTGAAAGACACTCACTCGAGAGAAGAAGAAAACATTTACTTCTTGATTGAATGGCACTTTTTTCTTGAATTTTTTTTCTACTCCACAGCATGACGTACCTTTGTGTGTGTGTGTATTGAAAAAAATGTAATATATGATACGTACAAACGTTCAGTATATTTACCACATTTTCATTTCCTTGCCAATGATAATGATGTAAAATTCGTCCAAAAGAACACACACCAAACCGATGACATTTTCGTCGGCAAATGCTTGACGCTTTAAAGAAGAAAGCCCATTAAAAATTAACTACGATTAAATATGGATGCGACGAAGAAATCGATATTCGATTGATATGGTGAATTTGCCAAAAGCTATCAATCCACATTGGCGACGAATGGAATCGAGAAACTGCGCTCGAACGAGCATGAGAAAATGTGACGGTTTTTAAATGTCGACAATATTGACGCCAATTTTTCTTCGTTTTTCTGCTTAAATGCCATGATACATACAAACGTATTCGTTTCTTTTCATTTATTCAAGAATACAGGACGAAA